GACAAAATCGGGAGTCTCGGGAAACGACGGAAGAGGTTACGGCTCAGCAATCATTTTTATGTAAGAAAATGTATTTCTTGGCTCCTGCGATAACATATACTCAGTGAAATGAGTTTGGAATTATACGCTGTTTATAATTCCGTTTTATAGTGTGGCGCTGCAGAGGGTATATGTGCAAGGAGAATGCATGATGCAAATTGATGCTGTGAACTTTTATAGGGTAGTTGTATTTATGGAGAAAAGCTGCAGGGTCTTTGTCAGAAAAAAAATATTGCGTGATTTTCTGTCCCTGCATGCCTCTGTGATAACACCAGACATGGCTTATTGCAGTGTGCGTCAGCATGAAATCATTTGGAGACTTTTATCACATGCAGTGAAAGTTGATTTGTCCAATGAAATAGATCAGATAAAGGCACAAAAACTTACTTCAGTAGAGTCAACTAGGAACTTGAAGAACCCAAAATAAACATGCACCAAAGGCAAAATCGTGAGGAACAATCATGAATAAAAAATACATACATGTTTGCAGTACTTTCTGGACTAGCACATGTGTATATAAACCGCACAAGCTGTATTAGAAAAGAAAGTATAAATTTTGTCTATACCTATAGGCCACATTTTATCAGTCTATTTTGACAATAAACAAGTGCCTTATAGCTACTAAACCTTGATGGAGTCAAAATAATAAGTCCATAAAATCTGCCCAACTCTACCACAATAAAAAAATCATACATTGGCTTTATGGGCCGCAGGGTTCAAAGAAGTTGACACAAGTTATGGTTCGGTGATTACATGTATAAAACAAAATGGGTTCCTGGGGCAGAAACCACGGCTCCTAACAGTGGTAATGAAGGATGCAGAGGATAAAAAATGGATAAAACATTAAACCTTATTGGTGAACGTGTGGGTATGTATGTGTTTATGGTACGTCTACAAAAAGAGGGAGGGCGGAAGGTTGGATGTTTGACCATTGTTTTTAGACAGATTATTATTAGCCAGTGTATGTAGGCCTGCCATTGTCCCAGAGGTTTGTCAGAATTACAGCAGGGCACTCAGGCCCCGTTTAGACTGAGACGCTGCGGAGAGCTGCAAAGCAATGAGCAAAAATGACCAGGCTCCGTAAGTCGAAGCACACAGCGTCTACACGGAAAACAATGTAGTTCTCGCGCTCGGCCAGTAGGGGACAGTGGAACTTTACAACACGACAAGACACAACACGAGCATCCTCCGCAGGCCACCGCAAAGCCTGAAGAGAATGCACCAAATTTCATTCTGCATTCTGAAATTTAGTAGAATTCTCCTCCGTGTAGCGCTCGAAGCACACGTGGCATTACTTGATCCACCGCCATTACTGTTTACATTTTTTCTCGGCTGCTGAGCATGTCCAAATGTTTGTGCGGGGAAGTGGTGAGGTCATTGCAGCAGAGAATTCACACCTTTTTCTTCACTGAGCTGAGCAGCGTATCTGTACTGTTCCACTCTGGAGGCTGTTTCTCAAGGCTTACGTTTTCACCCCCCTGAAACACTGTTGTTGTGTAAAAAAAAAAAGGCTGATCCGATACACAACTCTAACGTTTTACTGTCCTTACAGCGTCCTCTTGTAAACGGCACATCAGAGGGAAAAGTGCTGTTCAGGGGCCTCATATAACCATCACGCATACATCATGGTTATGTACTGTATCCCTTTCCTGCTGTTTGTGATCCATGAAAAAACATCAATATGATTTTTTTTTTACGCTTTCAAAAATAAGGAAGAACAGGATCCACACTCAGAGAATAAATAAATGTTGGGGGAGTTTTATTTTTTGCGTATCTAAAAATTCAACATAATCCTGGGCATTCCCATACCTGCTTTCCGTTCTAAATTTAGCAGAAGCTGTGTATAGGATCAGTTCAATAGTCGCCCACTTACCTCCCACTTCTCTTTTCTGATAAAAACAAAACAAACGCTACAATCAGAAGTTACTGTATACGACAGAACACCATTCCTGCCATAAGAACAAAGATAGCGTCTGTCCGAGAGGGAACAAAAGAGTGGTTCTGCAGTTAAAACTTTCACATGTTTATACAAAGAAAGGACGTCTGCTTTATCTCTTTTTTGCTTCTCACTGTATTCAGGAAGTCATCAAAATGGGGAAAGCCCTGGTCATCTGATCAGCCCTTAAGCTCAGATTAATCAAATAGATATAATAGCAGATAGATTTAATATAACCAGCCTACTTCATGACCAATAAATAATTACACAAAAATATAATAGGGAATAATCAACGGTACTCTGTATGATTCTATTCACAAAGATGGCCATGTCTGACCTGTGATCCATAATATATAGCATTGATCCAGTCTGCGGCCTGTGTGCCGTTTGTCTGTGCTATAGCAGGAAGTTCCCACAGAGTATAAACACAGCTGTCTGCCTCAGCGTGCACAGGCCAGAGCAGGAGAAGGAGGAGGCTGTTTGGGCCGGGGAGGACGGGGGTAAGGCCAGGGAGGTCAGAGCCCACTATACATGGCACTCTGCGTGGGGGATGAAGCACCTCAAAGGAGTTAAAGTTTGATGGAGTTAAAGGGTTCATGTGCATGGAGTCTTTGTTTTTATTTTCATCAAATAACCAATAGGCCCGTATTGAAGGAATAGAGTCCATAAGACTGCGACAACTGTTGTCAGTAGGAGTAGTTAAAGCGACAGTAGGCCTACATAACCTCCTTGGGGTGGAAAATCAGTAGATAATTCTATAGGCATAAAAGAAACATGGGAGATGGACACATGGAAAAACACAGGGAAAGGGGATCAGTTTAATGCCATACTGTCGAAGATTGTAGCCAAAGTAACATTTAAGGAAATAAATTGGAAAAGGCCTCCTCCAGGACGAACATGATTGTGGGGGTCAACTAACTCACAGTTAGGACATGTTTTCAAACCTTCTTCAGTGCTATAAGCTCAATCTGATGTTCATGCTGTTTTGTTGTTTTTGTTGTAAATTGTAGCTTTAAGGTGTCTCAATACATGACACAAAACAAAGCTGCTGATCAGTCCAATAACTAGCCTTAACAGTAAGTAAAAAAGCAAACACTGACCTATCTTAGACTCTCCATTTCCCCAGTGTTAAATGGCATAGTGCAAGTGTTCTGCTGCTGTAGTTTGGTGAACGGCGTTCTGCTGGAGGCCTCATTCAACGCTGTCAACACAGTCATGCTTCTCTGTTGCTTAGTGATTCTACCGAGAGAAAGGAGTTGTTTGGGACTTTGTTTTGAACAGAAGCACAGGAGGATTGGACAGGGGGTCACAGTTGAGAGGTGAGAGGTCTAGACCAAGGGATAGGGTAATCTGAGCCCTTCAGATGCTTAGAGATATAACCACCTTTGTTTGGCTGGCAGATTTATCCCGGGAAGTATGAGAGAAGAGTGGTCTGCCATGACTCGTGAGAGCATGCTATTCTCACTGTTTATACTTCTGGGCTCTCAATTTCCCCTGAGGTGTCCCATTATTAGAGGTTTATGAGCAGGGATAAACTCCAGATTCATATATAATACATCATATAACATGCCTTATATAAGAATGTGTTTTACTCCTACAGCCCATCGCTCTGTGGAGACTCAGATGAAGACTCAGATGGAGACTGGCCCACACAAGATCTTTTACATCTCTACAGGCATAACACATTATCAACGCTTAATATAACCACATATCATAAGTAATATACTGTAGTCAAACACTCCCTTTTGTTACATTAGACAAATCATATACTGGTTAATAAGCAAATTCAGAGATCCACTGACATTCTACCAAAAACCTGCAGACATTATACCCCACACGATGTCATTGAACTGATCTAATGTTGAGTAGATAAATAAAGAATCCAATCAAATTACCACAAAAAGAATCCTGCTGCAAAATCAGTATACGTTCTGTTCTGTTGCCCTCCATGTGGAAAGTGTTGACGTCATTGTTGATGTTTATTTTCCTTCCTCCACAACTCATAAATAAGACAATTGTGCCACCTGGCGGTCAACACAGGATTTACAATAACAAGGAAATGTGCGTATTTAAGATTAACACAGCTTTTAAGGACAAGTATAACCATATCAACTTCTTTTATAGCTGAGCGTGTACTTCAGACTCTTTCCACTTTTTTATGTGCAGTTTTATGTGAGTTTTACTTTTGTTAGAGTCAACTTAAAATGTCCCCCGAATGCATCTATCACCAATGGGTTCAAAGTGACTCAGCTGATACAATTACCTGTAAACCAGCAGTTCACAAAGTCTGAAGTGAAGTTTGCGATATCTACATTTATGTTGCATTTGGGGCTCCATAATTACAACAGTATCATATTCACTTTGGGAGGCACTATTGTAAAAATAATAATAATACTGCTCCTAGTATTTCTATACTATTTTCTGTTTTGAACCTTATAAAAAGGTTGGATTTGTTTGATTGGATTTTACCCTATTTCTTCGTCATCCCCTCATTATACCAAACCCAGGAATAAACAACAACAAAATAAAAAGGCACACAATATAAATTTAATTTAGACAGTTTTTATAAATTATTAACCTCAACCTACTTTATAAACTTAACTTTAACCATTTGAACCTTTTTAAAGAATCATAGACTTATTTACAAATATTACACTGATTTTGGTACTTCAACAAAATTCCACTTTCAAACCCTAAAATTAAGTAACACATTGCACGCAAAATAATGGAAAAAACAAGGCCAATGCAATACTGGTTTAAGGCTGAAAGTAAAATGAAAAATAGCAATCAACAAATCTGGAATAAAGCATATTCTTTCATAACAAACAGTTTCTTCTTCTGAACCTTTCTTTTGTCCAACAGTGCAATTTCATTGGTCCAACGGTGAACAAGCAGTGTGTGCCTTTAAGACTGGTCCCCTGAACTACTACACACCAGCTGAACAAATCACATTTTAAGGCAAGTGTGAAAATGACCATTACACAAACAAGGCCACAGCAGCCATACAGTAGATAATGATGTGTGTCTAGATTTTCTGAGGTATGCAGCCCTCCATCTCCAGAACGTCAGGCCATCCATCAAATTTGTTGGTGTCTGCACTGTTCTTTATATGCTGCAAAACACAATTAGGAATAAACATATATTACGATTCCCAAATACAAAAATATGCTCACATATCAAATAAGATCTAGAATTCAAAATAATGTATAATAAACTGTGAGCTAAAATTGCACTTGGGTCAAAGATAAGCACCCTTGTGGAGTATACACTGTTGTTAGCAGAAGGAAAAATGAAGTCTGCACTACACCAGCAGAGAATATAACCAGAATAAATATATTTTGTATAGAAATATTTTTGTTGTCATGAAATATATATTAGCAGTGGATAAAGTGACTTGTGAATTATCAGAACAGATGAATGGCACATATACACATTCACATATGACACATTCACACTTTTGAGAATGCCTCTCAAAAGTGTGAATACAACTTTACGTTTGTAAACTTGATGAAAACATGACAAAATGTGCAAAGACATTCTTTTTTACTGAAAGTTCACACACAAGTAACAGACAAATGTGAAGTGGAAGTAAAATAATACATGATTTTCTGCCCTAAGAAAGCTCTTTAGGAGCTGCGAAAGCCCATTATTGAAAGAAGGCCATAAGAAATACTGTTTCAAGATTTCCAGAAGTGATATGGAGGACACAGCTGCCATGTGGAAGAAGGTGCTTTGGTCAGATGAGACATAAATTGAACTTTTTGGCCCAAAACGCAAAACATTATGCATGACGCAACCAAACACTGCTCCTTGCACCATCCCCAGTGTCAAATATGGTGGGGGGAGCATCATGCTATGGGGCTGTTTTTTGTGGGGACGGGGCAGATTGTAAGAGTAGCTGGGAAGATGGATGGAGCCAAAAACAGGGACATTTTGGAGGAAAACCTGCAAGAGACAGCAGGAGAATTGAGGCTGGGGCAAAGATTCACCTTCCAGCAGGACAATGACCCCAAACACAAACCTAAATCTACAATGAAATGGTTTAACACCAAACATGTTCATGCGTTGGAATGGCTCAGACAAAGTCCAGACCTAAATCCTGCTGCTGTTTTCAGGTCCATCAAATTTGACAGAGAGGAATGGCCTAATCATTCTGTCTCTAGATGTGAAAATCTTAAGAGTCATCCCGCAAAAGGCTTCCTGTTATTGCAGCAAAAGGGTGTTCCACTAAGTATTAACCCTTTTTGGTTTTGTATTTTTTGTATTTTTGTATTTTTTTAGGAATAACAGAATCATGCATAATTTTGCTTTCACTTCATAGTAGTCACAGCGTTAGTTGTGTGATAAAATCTTCATGTTTATGGTTGTAAACATGACAAAATGTGTAAACGTTGTATTCATACTTTTGAAAGGCACGGTACAGGCTCATTAGTTCTCATTGTGTAATCTGAAGGAAGGAAAAACCTGCAGAACCTCTCCTTTACACACCGAGGGTGGATCAGTCTGGATCAGTTTAGGATATAAAACCACTGATCCAGTTAAAGTGAACCATTTACAATGATCAAAACATGTTTTATTAGTAAAAAATTGTAGAGACCTTTTTCTTTTTTGACTAACCCTAAAAAAACAACAACTTGTCTTTCAGGTCTTCTGGGACTTTTACCTGCTCAAATGGACTCTTTGTTTTAATTCCCTTGCCGCCCACAAAGATCCAGTTGTCTCGGAAAGCCAACTGTGAGATAATGGAGCTGCCCAAGTCTGCAATCAGTTTCCGTGCTTCATCATTCAACCTGTGGCAGAAATCAAAACGAATTACAAGGTCATTGAAGATGTAGTGCACACATTGGCCCTCATTTATGAAACTTGCGCAGAAAAGGGTGTATATTTAAATATACACCCTTTTGGTGTAGATTCCATATACGCAAGACCCAACGCAGGATTTATGAACGTGTGAGATCCGCCCACATCTGAGCGTACGCATACATGTTAGTAAATGCTGGGGTGAAAACTAGCGTAATAATGAAAGTCACGCCTGTAAATATTCAGAAACCGCCTGTTTCAAGCCCTGTTTCACGCCCTGTTTGTACGACAGGTCTGCATGGAACACGGCCAGGAAGATTATTTTTATTTTTTTATTTCCCCTAGTGTCTAGACCCACGGCAGCACTCATCTCTGTTGAACTTTAGAAGTGAGTCAATGAATTAATGAATGAATATTAATATCTCTGCCTCAGTGGTGGCTTTCATCATTAACCGGGCGACAGTAGCTCAGTTGGTAGAGCAATTGGTAAGTGTAAATTTTTTGTGTACGCCTCATTTACACCCAAGCAAGTTTCATAAATGAGCCCCGATGTAACTGCTTTACAAATATACTCTAGTGCAGGCATGACAAAGTCAAATACATCAGAGGGCCAAAAAAAAACAAATTTGCTGCGAGCCGAGGACCGGACTGGTTCAATGTTTATTAACTCATTACCTGCCAGCATATTTAAGAACAGGTACTCCCATATTTCCAGCAGTTACTGATGATTTTTATTGATTTTTCAAGACCCACAGAATATTGTGTACTATGACTATCTGAAATCCGAAACCAGATTCTGAAAGAATAGACTGTCTACTTTCATCAGCAAAAACAATTTTGTTTCTAGCTTGTAATCCCCAGTTGAGTAGAGGGAAGTTTTACTGAAATCACCAAAAAGCTGAGAAAAAAGAGGCACAACAAGTGCATCTAGCTGTTTTCAAACCATTCAGAGAGCGCTGCTGCCACCTGCTGGCTCGATTCAATATGCTCTCAAGCTTATCCCCAAACATATTAGATATAATAGACATCTGGGAACATGAAAATAGCGGAAAACGCACGTAATAGTGCGTCAATGGCAGGGAACGGGCCGTGTAAAATTCGGGCCTTGACTTTGACACATGTGTTCTGTGGTAAAGTACTTGAACAAACAACAGATGTGATTTCAGGTGCCTCCCTTTTTAGCGTGAGGACTTAACTGCCGCCAACAATAGTATTTTTTTTTTTCCATCACACAGAAACCAGTTCTTCAACAATTTACTTACTCATAGTAGAACAATATACTGCGATGAGTGAAACCATGTACCGACTGATCCAATTTTCACTGCAGAATTCATAGTTGAGTGATGCATTTATTTTCTGGCTGGTTGTAAACCAGTTCAATTCAAAGAGTTAACCACATAAGATAAGTTCTCACATAGGAGAAATGTACATGTCACAGTTGGCAAAGATAGAATCACTCAGATTGTGCAAAAGACAGAAGTGTGAAACATGTTAAAGGTTAAAAATATAGTCTGTGCAGGATATAATTATGCACATGTATATCAAACAACCAATTTTGTTTATAACTCGTCTATAACAAAATTATAGACGAGTTTAGCTTATCTTATAAGATGTTCTCACTTCATTTTATTTATCTGTGTTTTTTGTCAAATCTATTTAATAGTTAATACATTTACAAAGAAAACTGCACACAAAAAGGCTTTTTGTGATCCAAGCAATCAATTATGTGAATGAATAATCGGCCAATTGAATACATTTTCTAAATTATTGTTAATTACAGCCCTAAACTGCACCCATTAATGAACTACAGCCCACACTTTCTATTAGAATGAAAACAGAATATCTCTCACTTTGTTGCAGGATCATCAAATGAGGCCATCATCACCACAGAGCCATCTTCAATCTCTTTCAAGAATTTAATAAAAGGTTCCACATCTGAGGAGAATAAACATTTCTCAGTAATACTACACTTTAAAACAAGGTTTAATCTTTACATAAACAAACACTTACCTCCCGCCCACATGTCAAAGAAGGCAACTTTCACAACTTCCCCTGTTCTGCCTTAAAACAAAATGAGAAATCATTGTGCAAGTGCAATCACTCACCCTACAATCCTTCAAGAAAAAGTAGCCATTTACCATTCATTGTGACAATGTTGATTCCTCTCCCAACATTGTTTTTTACACTGCTCATTAATCTATAGAAAAATATGAACAAATAATTCAATTAATACTTTAAGAAAATAAATCTCCCTTCAAACACGCAATACAGAAATAGTAATTGCATTTGCGAATGACAATCTAAACCTGTAAACTTGATGAAATGAGTCTAGTGTGCCTCTGCTTCAACCCCATTTTAATTCAATTCAATTTATTTTTGTACAGCCCTAAATCACAACAGTAGTCGTATTAGAGGTCTTAACAAAGTTGTCCATTTGCCAAAACAGATCAGAGAATCAAACAGTTCACACACAGCAAATGCAATAATGTTTGGTGGGATTTAAAACCTGCAGCCACACTCGCCCTTTCTGGAACCAGTTTGACCCTTGTCTAAACCCATCTATCACAATTGAGTTTGCCTTTATCAAACAAGAATGTGAACAAAAAGGTGCATGTTTAATGTCCACCTGCCAGGTGCTACGCTGTTGCATGAATGATGGTGTCAAGAGATTGTACACGTCATTTAGCTTATCATTATCATGTCCCAACCACATAGCAAACATGCAACAACTGCAAGTTCAAAACAGTACATTGGAGATAAAATAAATGTATGGAACAAAAACAGACTAAATCACCAAAAAATTAATAACTCCATAATGATTAGATTGGCTGGTCAGAAATAGGTATTGCCATAGATGTATTTTACTATGGCTATTAGAAGAATCTACTGATACAAGTCAGATCAGTCAGATGATCCGTCAGTCTCAAACAAGTGTAAGTTCTAACAGTAGAAGTTTATGCACATTCGAGGGAAAGCTTTGTATCTCATTGGAGATAATAGAGAGATATAAATAGGACACACACAACCACACAGACAGGTTATTTTGTTAAGCTCACATTTGGTCTTCTACACAGATCCTCGGCCCCACCACACTGGCTGCTCCACTTGCCATCTTGAATGCGAAGTGAGCAGGGGGACATTCACGGACCAAGCTGCACTTGGCTCTGGCAGGTTTGACAGCTGTAAACAGAAAATATGATAGTATATACAGCACAGTGTTTATCATACACTAGTATTAACAAAGGATGCAATGCTTACTGGCTTCATTTGTGGGGACAGACTTGGCTGTAAACATAGAACTATATTCGTTATAGTACAATGTAAACGTATAGCAGCAGACATGTAATTGTTGTGTTTTTACTCACATAGTATGTCAGGTAGTTTAAAATCCAATTGTAAATCTAAAATCTGAAACGCCAGCAAGATCCCCACAATAAAAACGAACAGTATCGTAGCGAACTTAAAAACACCTACAGATAAAAAAAATAAAAAAAAGTTATAAATAATAATGTAAGTAAAAACATATCAAATCTTTTTTTTATTTATTTTTGCAAAGTATTTACCACTTGCTCTGACCATCTTGTCATAAGGTCCGACTTCTGTACCAACCTTCATCAGTAAAAAAGGCGAGTGAGTACCACGTCAAAACCATAACACGGCAAAAGGACAGTAAACAACATCACGTGAGAGAGTAAACAAAACAATGCCAATCTGTCATGGATAAATAGACTTTGTGGACACATGTAAAAGTACGATCCAAGAAAGAAACTTCTACTTCCTCATCAGAGAGCCACTATATAACACAGGTTGTATATGAGTTCACAGACTGCACACACGCACACGTTGGGCTGAAAGTGGACTGTTTTATGACTTTATTGTAAACATATTTTAAAGAGTATGAGTCTTACCGTGGTATTGTCCAGGCAAAGTGAACTATAAGGAATATTGGATTTATGTGTGATCCGAGATGCACGATCCCACACGGGTGAAGAGGTCTCACTCCGTACTCAAAACCAGAGCGACGTGAGTTTATTTTTCACACAGGGGAGAGCATTAATGAATGGGCTGCTTGTGATTACCCTTGCTTTTAACGATTGGCAATTTCCCAACCTTAAGCAATTTCATCCAACGTCTACACTTGCTGTGCTAAATCAGCTAAACAGAGGCCCACCTTCCCCTGCCATCCTGTAAGTGAGAGAAGGGCTGAATTACAGAATCCCACTTTATTGGCCCCACACAGAGAATGTATAAAAATTACAACGAAAGAGATAATGGTGGAAGTAGTCCCAGGGTAGTCAATTTTTTTGTATCGCTGCTCTTTACACATCAGCAGGCCATAGCAGACCAGGCACAGGTAGTGGAGCATCGTCACATAAAAGACGATCTTTGTCAGTGTACTTGTTCGGTGATTTTGAAAGGTAAGATATGCTGCGCCCTCATCTGGCAAATACTGATCACAACAAGGGATTATTCCATTCCATTATATTTATATTTATATCATAAAGTTACTGGTACATATACACGAACAACTGAAAATCTCAATAAATAAAACAAAATGACACAACATAGATATTTACAAGTATTTGATATTTGAAATCATTGTTCATCCACACATTTTAACACATTTTTAGTAACTCTTAAAGTCATTCACGGGTCATTCAATAAGAGCCTGTAAAAGAATGGAAGAAATGTAAATGTGAACATATGAACATACATTTAGGGGGAAAAGTCAATACATACAATTTCAGAGTCTCTGGGACTGGCTGCTGTCCCATTGCTGCTCCTACTACTTCCCTGATCTGTTGTTATAGATACACCTTCATCCTGAGTCTGTAGGTTTGAAAAGCGGTATGCCGGCATCCTGTCCACAATAATTGTCAAGATAAAGTTCAAGCTAATTTCTCCTCAAGATTGTCTACTTTACCTGGTTCTGTACATGATTCTGTTGACAATGACTACAGCAGATGCAACGGCTATCAGGACAATGACTGCAGCACCAACACAGACAAGTATCAAAACGAGCTTTTCTTTCTGAAAAAGAGACATACAATTACTTAGTGATTAAAAACCAGCATTCCAAATGATGTCATACTCACTGGTGTGTCAAAGTGTGACACTGGAGGAGCTGGTTTATCCGGTGGACCAGGACTTGTCTTCACGCTGCAGGGTCGAATTATTGTCTCAATAGCATTTTGTGGAGTAAATCCCCCCTCGCACTTGTCGCTTGGGACCTTGCGATATCTGTTTAGTATACACAGACACACATACTTATCAAACGATCGATCTCATTCAAACTATTATTCATAAACAAAGAAGCACAAGTACCCCACAGTCAGCAGCTCATCTTCCTCTCCATCTAGGCAAAGCTCCAATGTTTTATTTGCAAAATGAGGTTCCCTTAGGCACTCAGATGTGTTTACATGGCGGTAATAACCATAATCACTGTGGAGTGGAAGTAGTTGTTTGCTCATTCATTTAGAAGTAATTAAGTAAGTAAGTAAGTATTTTTTATTATATAGCGCCATTTCACAGACCAGAGTCACAAAGCACTTTAAAAATTAAAAACAATCTACGTTTCAAACCAACAATGCAAGGATTATGATATTGTTGATTTGACAAGTATGACAAAAACTAACGGAGGGGGAATGGTCAGTATCCATCACTTCACATCCTGTTGTTTTATACGTTAAAATCAAAGCTAAGTGCTCTAATTTCTTTAGAGCACTAGACTGATTTCTTACCATATGAAGTCATCTTTGGTACACAAGCACTGACTTTGTTTCTTGCTGACCATGTATGCTCGCCCGTTTCTGCAGACAGACTGTTTCTTGAGCCTCTTGTAGGTCTCCTTTAGACCCAGGACACAACCAGCTCTGTTTGTCCCTTCCCCTTGTGTTGCATGAGCCAGCCATGGCTCATAGTCCTGAGTTTTACCTTTAAAATGTCCACATTAAACATTAACAACATTATTATACTACAAACAGGGACAAACCATTTGGTTAAAGCAGGGGTACCTAACTTCTGTGTTTTATACCTAAAAAAATACATGTTGGTTCTAATAGTAAATCTTGTAGAAGTAAAAAGTTGTGAACAAATCCGACCACAACATCTTATTAGAAAACATGCTCTCTTTTGCATACACATGTAGCAGCCCTGAGAGTTTTGAAGCTTTGTGCTGAAATCTTATTGGCCGAGTGAGTGTGATCCTCTCTATTTCACTTTTATCTCTAAAAAAGCTGATCTAAATATGCGACAGAAGCCAAAAATACATGCATGAGAAAATTTGACATTTTGAGAGCTAGGAAAAAGCTCTCAAAATGGAAAAAATTGAAAAAATGTATTTTTTCCATTGTAAAGTTAGGTACCCCAGCTTTAAGCTTCATACCAATCAACTATTGATGTTATGTTTTGTTTTCTTTGGTATACTTACACCCCCTTGTGATGAGACTTTCAAAATCTATGGTGACTGCCACCCACATGGGCTGTCCATCCTCCTCAGGCCTGAAGCCCCACACACTGACGCTCAGGGCTTTAGTTCCTGGTTCAGACGACAGACCAGCAAAGAAGAACGCCTGCTCTGTGAAGTTATAGTACTTCCAGCACTGGCCTTCATCCGTGGAAAACCTCAAGAGAAAAATACTGTTAGAAGCTATGTCTACAAGCTTTATAGGCTGAGTTTATGTGCTAAAAAAATCAGGTCCCAACACAACTCTATGGCAAAGAAGCAATGTTCTGAATGTTTTCCTAGGATCAGTATTTGATAGTTATTAAATCAATCATCCCAACATGGCCATCTCATTTCTGAAAGTTTATTCTAATGGTCAACAGCATTTTTTCTCTCTACTTCTAGACACTTTTATAAGGAATTAGTAAGAACATAGTTAATAGCACTACAAAGAAAGTAAACTTTTCGGATTCATGTGGATTGGCCCAGCAATGACAAAGAAACTAGCAATAAAACTAAGATGAGAGTCTGACTTTTGACAGTTACCAGTCAAAAGTTACCAGTTGACAGTTATCAATCCAATTTACTATGTATGGCCTTAAATCACAACCGGAGTCATCTCGGAGGACTTAACAAAGTTGTTGATTTGCCAACACAGATCAGAGAATCAAACCGTTCAAACACTGGAAATGCAATAATAACTAAAACGTATAGAAGGCATTGGTCCATAAGAGGTGGAGATGACCAATGTCCAGAAATGTGAATAAATGTCCAATAAAAGTTACCAAGAAATATTTTTCATCTACCTTTTTCTATGTTAAATTATAGGCTCTTTGGAATGCTGTGATGTGACGTGAACGCAACTTATTACACAAGTTGGTTAGCTTTCATGTACAGTAAGTATATGTACTTAATAGTCTTGACTTGTTCATTGTGCAGGGCCTCCACTGCCACTATCAGTCCCCCTGAGTCCAGTATGCTGTAGTGATGCGGCCCATTCAATGTGCCTCTCCAGTTATAACCTCCATCTGAGGACACAAACACATCTGGACGCTGGGAGGACGACAAAGAGTCCCCGACAGACCCTAAGAAGATAGAAAATCAATAGTTGTTCGAAAATACATCCACGTTTTTTGTGTGTCACAGTGTACCGTGGGCAATGACAAGACCGATGGCACTTGGATCAGACAGAGCCAGCATAGGAATGAGGTGATCGTCACGGCTGTGCTCTCCGTGGATATGAAGATTACACTGAAATAATAATCAAAGCGGCGCCAATTATTGAGAAAACACAGCTTGAAATGCAGATGTTACAATTGTTTATTTTTTTACGTTCACTTTGTCCCCACAGTCCACATTTTCAGGTTTACTCAAAGGCCTCCATGATAATCCTCGGTTAAAAGAGATGACAGATCGTATACGTCCGTCTGTAAAACAAAAATAAGAACAATAAACAATGAAAAACTGCGTATAATTTAATGTAAGATAAGATAAGAATTCCTTTATTCGTCCCACAGTGGGGAAATTTGGAATAATAATATAAGTTCACTAAATATATACCTTCACCCAGTCTGTTTGTGAGGTAAGCCCCCCTCAACGAAGTGATGTTGGTGAAGTCACTTTTCCGATGGCCGTCAAACAAATGTCTGTCCAGAGATTTAGTGTACACTATTCCACGATCGTCCGAAGTGTACATGGTTCCAAAATATGTATCTGAAGAAATTATTAAAGACAATAAAATGTAGATTGAACGTCACCACTTTACCACCATAAACTTGCCTACAGTATATGGCATTCATTCACTCACAAGTAATAGTTAAAACAAAAACATGGAGAAATGGTGGTGGAAAAGTCTCAGCCAGAACCTTTATATCGGTGGTTCTTAATATAATGCCAAGGTACAACCCGAATAACTGAATGTAGTAAAAAATTATGTAAATACGACATATTTTCCTTAGCCTGGTCGTACCACACCATAGTACAAAAAAAATGATAATTGAATGAATGAATGAATGTTTTATTTGGATATTTGACATGAGAAAAACAAAACAAAAGCAATGTAATTATATATTGATTAAGCAAAATAAATAAACAATCGATGTCCAAAATAGGAGTGGGAAGCAGTTAAATAAACTTGTGTAATCCCACCCCTACTTAAAACTCTGAATCTACAAAATAAATAATATCTTCCGTTACCATTTACAACCAGTCCCTTTGTAAGTTTTTAACATGCTTCACGAACATATTTATCAAAAATAATGAGCGGCGTGTACAGATGGCTAAGGCCAGGCTATATTTTCCTAAGCATTGCATACTACTACCAAGCAAAATTATGAGGAAAAGAACTCAAACAGACTTTAAAATAGATAAAACTAAATCTTGGAATAAGTTTATATTTGAGTTGATTTAACTTAGTTCAACAAATGGGGAAAGTTTGACCTTTTATTACATTTGAGTGAATTTAGATTTTTTTTTTCATAATGTGCTATAAGTGTGAAAACTTGCACTTTGGACACATTTCTAAATTTCACTTTCTCAAATCAATTCAAATAATTCTAACATGTTTTAACTTCTTTCAAGATTACATTTTGCAGGGTCATAGATAACAAAATCATCCTGAGACCCACCCGTCGAGAACCACTGCTCTATGTGGCCTACACTTATACTGCAATTCTCTATTAACTCCTTGAGATTTGAAAGCGGTCTCAGTTCGACCTGCACATGAAGACCATTGACCTCATGAAGGACGCACGGAGCTGAAGTAGCTGATGGAAAAAGTCATGTTCTGGAGTGTTTGTGTGATGAGAGAGTGAGGGTTACGCCCTGATCCAGAGATATGCTTGTAAGCTCCAGCAGTGTAACCTAAATCTTCAGCCAACAAAAGATAAAGCCCCTCTACCACAGATCTCCCTTATTTATATGAGCACAACAAAGCTCCCATCATCTTAAGTAGACAGGACTGACAGAGCTGAAGTCATCAGTCTCCTATGCAGGCAAACATGAGACACTGATTAAGGATAAAGAAAATTTTTGCACCAAGATGAAAACATACTTCCAACTATTATATGTGGTTCGTCAGCAATGTTCAGCCCTAATAGAGATTCTCCTTTAAATAAAGTTATTTGCATCATTTAAAAACAATTGACCATTTTATTTTGTTTTTACTCTTTATAATACACTGTAGCTATTTATGATTTTCATCCCATTTTATTGTTTTGAGGTTTTGAATTACTTCTGTGATTTTATTAATTATATGGGAATTAGATCTGGCCTTCCGTAAAACTTCCAGGTGGCTCAGGTGCGTAAATATCCCGTCTCTGTGAGGTTAATTTTCCACAATTATTCATTCATTCATTCATTTTTAATATTTCTTGTGATCTTATTGTGTTTTTTAATGCCCTGTGGGATTTTAATTGTATTATTTTAAAATGTATATGTAGATTTTAATGTTTATGATGTATGCATGCTGTGATATGGGTTGTGAGGCGCTTTGTGTTGCCTTGTGTAGGAAAGGCGCTGCACAAATAAAAGTGTGTTGATTGATGGACTAATTGATTGGACATATACATGCTTTTAAAAGTTTTGAGTCACCTCCAGGATTATCCACATGCATAAATATCATGTCTTCATCTCCATCCAGGATTGAGTAGAACTGCAAGCATAGGTTACTGTTAATCAAAGACATGGGGAGGCTGCATTTCAGATTCATGCTGCTAAAATATGAAACAGTCTTCCTGAATATGTGAGACAGGCCACTTCTCTGACAATTTTTAAAACCAGGTTAAAAACAGTTCTGTTTAGCTGTGCATACAACTGAGGGATTTTATATTTTTATCTTTCTTTTTAATGTACTGTGATATTTATGATTTTAATGCTATATTTTGTTCAGCACTTTGAGTTGCCTTGTGTTATACAAATAAACTTGCCTTGCCTTGCATTTAATCCTAACTAACTCCAAACAAAGAATTTGATGACCAGTGTATTCTGAGATAAACCGTAATAATATCTATGAGATCATTTGTGTCGTCAGCAAGACTAAAATGGATGGAATAAGGGGATGTGGGTGTCAGTTTATCTGCATTTTTCCAAGTGGTTTTTCACCTGCTCAGTAGACGCAGAAGGAAGTAAAGCTTGGCTAAACGTTTCTCCTTGGTCTGATGAGCAGTACATTTCACGTGGAGATCTCTGAAAGCGTAAATTATGCGTTCATTACAAGAAAAAGCCAATGTAAATCTAAAAAAAAATTCAAATAATCCTGTTTCTGTATCTTACCGAATCCTCCATCACAGAGAAGAATAGAAAGGTTCCGATGTATCCAAAACTGAAGACATCCTCGTGGATTGTAGAAAAAGACTTCCCCAGATCTTGGGTACTCTTAAGCTGTAAATCTCCCCTTTCTTCAGCATCAACTAAAACACAAAAATAAAATCAACATGTGATTAAATGTTGTTGTTATATCCCCATTTACTGACCTGTATCTACTTTACTGCAGCTGAAGAACATGTTAATGCCAGCCCCCCTAAAGAATGAAGTCAAAATAAAATGTGAAATAACATGTTGATTCTTGGGCTATTGACTGCAGTTTCTATTTTCCTCACCAAGTAAAAGAATGCACTCCATCATGTACTTTAGTCCACTGGGCACCAAAGTCCAATGAAAGCCACAGTCTGCCCTGAGGTTGTGAAGGAACAGAGGAGTGTTTACCTTTCTGAAAGGTGTGTCCTTCACCAGAGAACAAAATCAAACCAAAGTGACACAAAAAGTAATTCATCCAGCATTTGATTGGAGAGCACACTCACATCAATGCTGAGCGCGACCAGGTAGTCGTGATTCAAAAAGTGGTATGTGATTGGCTGAGCGAGGTGGAAAGGTAGCTGGATGAAAGCAAATGTAGCCCCAGCGTCTGTGGAAATGAAGATGATTCCCCCAGGATGGTTCACCACTGGAATATCGGCCGTCAAAATCACCTGTTTATAATGGGAAAAAACATGCATTAACCATTTTTAATTCTAAGTTTGAAAAGACTGTGAAGTGTATACCCTGTCTTTACGCACAGTTATGAGCAGAGAATGTAGTCGAGAAAATACTTACTGAACTTCCTGGTCCGACACTCACTCCAAACTCTTCTCGGATAAATGTGTGATTGATCTGATGTGAGATGTCATGGAAGGACTTGCCATAATTGGTACTAATAACACAGAAAAGTAAGTGAAATACATATAGGACACATGATTGTACGGTCTGTTTACGACTACCTCCTGTAAAGACGAGAGGAACCTCCTCCAACATAAGAGTCAACAGGTGCATTAATAGTCGATAGCACCAAGATGACCTGGAATATAATTTTTATGAATGAGCCTTTACCCACTTGTCTACATAGATTCATTTCTCGTAAAGTTAAAAATCAAACAGAAAAAACAAGTGGAACGGTACTCACTCCTGTGCCATCACCGACCCAGGTCAAGATGACATATGATCCATCATCACCATTAAAGCCTGTCTGAGGGGAATCAATGCAACTGTTAATTCTATAGTTCTCTTTAATATAACCCATATGCTATTGAAAAAGTCTTTCAATTATATTAAAAACACGTACATTGTCAATTTCAGTAATTTGACTGTAAGTTATCTCTGTAACTTATATGTTTGCTCATCTCTATAACCTTATAACTTAAGGTTTGAGTTATATGGCTATGAAGAATTCAGATTCAGAAAACTTTATTGATCCCAAAGGACATTTAACAAACACTCAGAATCTCAGAACACTCAAACTATACACAAGCACACAATGAGTCAGGCCTCACAGCTCACGCAGCAGTAGATTATAATAAGTTAAAAACAATACAAAACACAATCATTCCTACAAGTGAAACACCTCTACAGAGTTCAACAGTTAAATGACAGAAGGCTGGAATAACCTACAGAACTATCAATGCAGTCGTGAAACTAAAATGAGCCACCTCTGAATTATAAATTAGTAAGTAAGTATAAGTAATAAAGCCCATGTTGACATTTGTAAAGCTCACCTCGTGTGTGTTGTCGTCCAGGACCTGGTGCTCGGTCGGACTGAGCGGCAGGCGGCACGGGCTGAAGAGAGGCTGGTGTGCGGAGCGGGGGACGCTGCTGTCTCTTCTGGGACGTGCGCGCTCCTTTGCCCTGTGCAAAGTCACGCTGCTCCCGGGGACACTTCCACTGACCCTGGCTGCCACTAAAAGACAGCAAACTCCCCAGAAGACCACCGTCCGCCAGAACATAGCAGATAATAATGTGATCCCAGTAAAAGCCTGGAAGTGCAAATGAGCGTGAGGCTGAGATGAAGCGCGCACAGCAGAGTGGGACGTGTCCGGGCGCGTCATTTACATAAAGAGTGCTTCAGCAGGTGGACACCCGCATCATGTCCTACCTACACACAGATACACATGTCACATCTTATATGTAGCCAGAGCAGATAGTGGTTTATTAACGTTCACTGTATTTGTTTTTCACTTTGACTAGTATACTTTTTGGGGACGACGGATGGGAATTATATTTTGGTCATTTTGTGTAAAGCCTGGAAGAAGTGGGAGACTCCTTTAAATACCTTGGAAGTGTACAAGTCTCTCCATGGCCTCGCACCAAAATATATTAGTGACACGTTAGTCCCATATGAACCAGCCCGGACTCTGAGGAGCACAGGGACTGGACTCCTGTTAGTGCCCAGAGTCAGAACTAAACATGGGGAGGCTGCTTTTCAGATTCATGCTGCTAAAATCTGGAACAATCTTCCTGAAGATGTGAGACAGGCCTCCTCTCTGACAATGTTTAACACCAGGTTAAAACAGTTCTGTTTAGCTGTGCATACAACTAATGGATTTTATATTTATTATTATATTTTTAATGTACTGTGATTATTTATGAATTATACAAATAAACTTGCCTTACCTTGCCTTGAAGTTATTGTTTGTTAAGTGTGTGATATCAAAAAGTATTCAAATAGTTACAGTATGAGCATGTTCCTGATTTTTATATTTGCACCTGTTCTAATGTGACTGAGCTATGTGTAATCTATTTTCCGAGCCATTATAATACTGAGACTGGTTGAGTCTATAGCTGGGGGCTATTGAAGCTATAGTTTGGTTTTTGTCAGGGTGGGGGTGACTTCAGGTTTTCTTGGAGCTCAAAATCAGGCAAATCAGTTTAAACCACTGCAGTGACAGACTCCACACGACCTGGTTTTGGTCTGTTTCAGAAACTTTCAGACCAGGGTTAGGCATAATATGGTTTAGATCTGATTCAGACTGTATGGCTTAGGTCTTGTTCAGACTACTAGACCAGATTTAGGTTTAGTTTGGCGTTAGAAACACACCGAATCTTTAGGTCACTTGACTTTTTCAAAATAATGTACATGTTAAATTCATCTTTTACATATTTATTCACACGTATGTTAATCTCACAGCAAAATACTTCAGTAAACATGCGGACAAAAAGGGACCGAGATCGTCTACCATGAGATGCGATAGCCCCGCCCCCTCCCCTCTAGCTAGATTCCTATTGGCCGAACCGTGTTGCTCTGCTAAAGTCAACGTTTATGAGAAGGTTTGACTCATTATTGACTAAGAACATTGGTAGTTAGAGCTAAGAAACACATGAAACTAAGCTTACTCAATTCAAATGTTAAAATTAATGGATTAAATAACCCCAAAATGTGTCAATAACTTGAGTGAGCTCAACCAGATTTTAGCAACATGACTCTGGATTATATTTCCTCTTTTTTCAACATGAGACACGGCACACTGAGTCAGCATCAATTAATATTTCCTTTTTTTTCAGTCAAATTAATAATCCATGGAATAATAATAGATTTTGACTCCCACTTTATGGCATAAAAGTGCACTAAAGTTATTTAGAGCTGTTTTCAGACTCACATCCACTGCATTAAAGAACACTTGTCAAAATCTTGTAAAAATATTTTAATTTGAATAAAAAACACAATTCTTTTGCAAAGTTTAAACATTTAGTGCAAGACAAATCACAGTGGAGTGTTCAGTTTGCAGACGGCAGCAAGAAGCAGACTCTCTCCTGGAAACCGGCCTCATGTCATCCACAGTATTCCTATGTTTGTCACAGTACGGTGATCGTAGAGTACTGTACGGATGGAACATTGTCTGCATCTCAGAGCTTCACACGTCATCATTCCTGCGCTGCTTCTCTTGATGGAACTCCAGGAAGTGTTGCTGATTCTGGACATACATCAATCCACCAATGGAGTCCACGAGCCCATGAAGCACGAGCATGACCATCACAGCTGTTCCAGTCAAATATGACAGTAAAGCCACCACCAAGGCTCCTGTGGGGAAGGCAATTATCAGAAACATTACAGTATGACAGTTCGCACCTATCAACCCACATGTTTGTAGATTTGGCTAAAATCTAAACTAAATTAACAGCTAAAGTTAATGTGGTGCGCTTATGCAAGACACTATAGCCTGAGTATGAAGCAGATGGAGGATCAGTTATAAACAAGGGCAGGTGTGGCTACAGAACAATAAAGTAGCTAGCCCGTCCTGTGTATGGTGGTGTACGTAGCCGTTAAGAGGCAGTTTGGTTTGGTTTCGTTCCAGAAGCAACTTTCCATTCAAAAATCCCCTTAGGAGTTGCAACAGATCTTGTGATCGTGATTCACCAGATAGCTGATTATATAATTAAAATATTAAAAGAAATATTAAAAGATAGCTTTTAATATTTGATAAAATACATATAATTTTGATCTCAACGGCAACACAACATGCATTTTATTTGTGGAACTAGGAACAGGGCGGGCACTTCACAGCTGTTTTTATTGTTTTTACACAATGGACACCTGAATCTCTTCTATGGGATCAGTAAAGTATCTATCTATCTAAATACTACAATAAAGGTTCTCTTATCTTATCTATTACAGCTGATAGACAAGCCATATAACACATACACACACGACATAGATATACACACACACACAACATAGACACACACACACACACACACACACAATAGTTGTAAAGGCATATAAAAGGATTTTCCCAAATAGAAAGAACAATCCTCTCCACTTTTTAAACAAAACTCTTATTTGACGAGCTCGTATCATCAAAATAATTGACAATTGGTAAGACCTAGAATAGAAAATCCTCCTATGTACCTTAAAGCTCCCAAACAAAAGAGTTATAGCAGCTTCATTCACGTAGGATGCACAGACAACTCGATCACTTTCGTTTGTAGAATAATGATAAGACAAACGTTGTTTACAATTCGCTTCCTTTTCCTCGCGTTTGTTCATAAATCAAATTGTGTATTCCCACAATCCGGAAAGATGAATTCCCCATTTTGGATCAACACCACATGGTTGAACGTGGCACATATACTACTTTGACTGTAGAATAAAGTCATCGGCATAGACACGTACCAAGAGTCGGGGTCGCGTCGACAGGCTCATAGGTTAATATTTTAGTAGTAAGCATTGACATCTTCTTGACGCTTGACGATCGCTCCTCGCATTAGCAGTAAACGCAGCAGCAGCAGTAAACGCAGCAGCAGCAGTAAACGCAGCAGCAGCAGTAGTAGTAGCAGTAGTAGCAGCAGTAGTCTGTAGTCGGTAGAAGCGTCACGTGGATGAGATGTTTTTTTTTTTCCCTCTATTTCCTGTCTTTATCATGATTCACCGTGGATCTATTCACGCAGATGGTTGAAATCCACCTCATGTAACAGAATTTTAAAACAATTTCACAACATCTCAAATGTCACGATGTGCCCTTTATCTTTTTGGTGCCATCATAGACTGTAAAAATGATTCTAAGGGTACAGATTAGTTCACAATTATAAACTCTTTAATCAGCGTTAACTTTACAGACACGTGTTAAATAAGTCTACTTCATGTTGTTGTAAAAAAATGTACAATTGTATTTTAAAATTAATTTGTGAAAAAAAAATCTACCATGGCATTTATCATCACTAGATGGCAGCATTTCACAGTTAATGTGTATAGCCAGTGGTGGAAAAAGTATGTATTATTGTAAACCTTCAGTTAAAATAGCCAGACCACTTAAAGCGGCTCCTAACTATTTTTCATAAATAGTTTTTTCCCAATCAGAAAATAAAATGATGGGAACAAATCAGAACACAACATGCAGTCTTCATTAGAAACATGTGTGGCAGCCTAGGGGTGGTGGTAATAGGATTTAGAAAATAAGTTACATTAATTAATCATAACTGGTTAAAATATGTAAGTATTAAAATAAACCAAGCAACGCCACGACCGGAATTTCACCGGAAGAGTACTGTACTATAAATTAAGGACACACAGGTAAGTATTAAAAGATTAGAATGCACCAGGTTCCAAGTTTGACAGGTTTATTTTACAGTGTGGTCAATACAGTTCAGTCTTTTTATTTAATTTAAATGGATAAGAACTAAATGCTATACTCTCTCACTCGTTCGCACACTCACTCACTCTTACTGTTATTGCACATTCCCACAAGTATACGCCCCAGAACCGGGACGCAGCACTCGTTAAAGTGCGTGAGTGCTAGACGCAGGCGTCCACAGCTGCGAAGGACATGGAGCAGCAAAACAGTGGGGTGAAACAGTCACAAGGCAGAGCAGCGAAACAAAGTGCGATAGCGATACGAAGCTGCGAAGCCAAGCAGCAGATAAAGCAGCTGAAGCCAAGCCAAAGCAGCAGGAATCAAGGCAAAATAAAGCAGGAGCCAGGGCAAAGCAGAGCAGCAGGGGGCGTGTGTGCCAGTGCCGCTGGAACGCACCTATAAAAGAATGAATTTAGAATATTACCTAAAATAACCCTAACTAAATAAATAACAAAAAGGGGACAAAATAAATCTAAATAGATAAGCCTACCAATTAGAGCCCCAAGAACGAGTGGTCCACAGCTTTAGGCCAAACAGGAGGCTGCGCTCAGAGCAGCCACTATGAATGGGCGGACCAAACCCGCGCCACTTGTGGTGCGTAATGCTGATCACCACCAGCTAGATAAAAAGGTCCCGAGTTAAGATTAGAACTATGCATGAATGAATTTTGCTATTAAATAATTACCTTTAATAATTAGGTACACGCCACAGCGCATAGGACAGCGCAGCCCGTAGGCTTGGGTCAAGCAGCGTGACTACAAAGCGTGGATTACATTACAAAACTGTGCGAATTTATGAATGAACCGAAGCCTGCATGATTATACCTGTCGCTGCAGTCGAAGGCACGCTACAGAGGCCACTGTCGCACGAGAGTGCAGACGCAGGGCAAACACAGGAGCTGGGAAAAGATTGCGTTTTGTGAATGTGCATTCTACATGTTGTATTGGAAGCAGTGGTTTACCTGGCGCGCAGAGGTTTTTGGGTGCCTAGAGGAACCAGACAGCAGCACTGGAATGCGTGGAGCTGGGACAAACTCACAGCTGCAGAGGCGTGAGGGCAAAGAGGAGCAATGAGGGGAGGAGCGCTTATAAAGCCCACCGGGGCGGCCCGTGGGAAAGCAGGCGCACCCTCAGCACTGACCTCAGAAGCCGTTTTACCACATTCTACCCTCCCAAATGGCATCGTCGCCCCGACGATGAATCCGTTGTTTTCAAGTGAGACAAGCCGTCTGTTGGACTAATTTCCAATGGTGGACCTTGGAAGATTGTAGACATTGGGGTGCTGACCTGCAGTAGCCCGGGTGGATCTGCGCAGAGGAAGCTCCCCCGCTTGAGACTCTGTGCTCGAAAGGTCGGGTGGAGTTTGGGAGGGGCTCCGGTGAGCAGAAGAAAGCCCTGAGGCCCTGGAGGCAGGAGGGGAGCGCCCCAAAGACGCTGGTATAACGAACACATTGCCATCATAAGAATCCGGAGACCACTCCTCGCGTGGGGTGAACTGCTCCCTTGGTGGGTCTTCCGCGACCATGCCAGGGTTGCCAAGAGAAACCAAAGCTTTAAGCAAGGAACGATGTACTCTCCTGATCTTACTCGGGTCATCAACCGGGGCCACTGTATACACAGAACCTTCCCCTTCTGGTACCCGTATAACCTGGTAGGTGACTGGACACCAAAGGTCCTGAGTCTTCTGGCGACCCCTTATGTGGTAATTGCGCAAAAGCACAAGCTGACCCTCTTGGAGCGGGGTGACTCGCACCAGCCTGTCATGGTTGGCTTTTCGGCGAGCTGCTGCAACCTTTAACCGGGCTTGCGCCCCATCAAAGGCAAGGTGTAGCCGGGCTTGATGCTCCGCTACCCATTCCGTTACACTTCCCGCCAGTGGTTCCTGCACGTGGCCCAGAAGGAAGTCAACAGGAAGACGGGGCTCCTGACCAAACATAAGGAAATACGGAGATTCCCCGGTCGACTGATGAGGTGTCGTGTTATAAGCGAACAACACCTCAGGGAGACAGGAACTCCAGTCCCGCTTCCGCGAAGTAGGTAACGTGCGAAGCAGATTGTGCAGTGTGCGGTTGAACCTTTCGCACTGCCCGTTACCTGCTGGATGATATGGGGTGGTTCGCGATTTGGTCACCCCATACAAGCAGCAAAGCTGTTGTATCAAAGCGCTCTCAAAGTTGCGGCCCTGATCTGAGTGGATACGAGCTGGGACACCAAGCTTCGCAAACCACTCCGAGATCAGGACCTGTGCTACAGTGGACGCACGTTGGTCCCTGGTGGGGACAGCCAAGGTGTATTTACTGAAGACGTCCGTCATCACCAGGACATTCTCTACACCTGCCGATGTGGGTTCAAGCAGGGTGAAATCGATTGCCACAATTTCGTTCGGCTTTGATGCCAGGAGGTGACCCATGTAGCTGCGAGCAGCTGGCTGGTTATTTTTAGCAAATTGGCATCGCTCGCAAGCTTGGCACCACTGCGCCACCTCCCGGGACATACCTGGCCAGTAGCAGCGAGAGCGCAAAAGGGCTAGAGTCCGGTCAACCCCTTGGTGTCCGTGCTCCTGGTGTACCTTGGTGAGGACATCCTTGACCAAAGCTCGGGGCAAGAGCAGCTGGTATACTGCCCCACCACCATCTGACCGAAACATCTGTCGGTACAGGAGGTCGTCTACCTCAACCAACCTCTCCCATTGTCCTAGAAGGACAAGGGCTAGTTCCGAGAGCTGCTGTCGCTCTACCTGGGTGGGGCGCTGATCTTTCCGCCAAAAGACTGCTACCTCCTGGATGACTGGATCCCCCAGTTGTAGAGTATGGAGGTCAGCTGGGGCATAATGGGGAAATACTGCCATCACAGATTGTGAAGCCTGCCCTTGTTGGTTCTGCAGCATTTGCTGCAGTGGCTGAGGCAAGGGAGTACCTTGGGCAGGAAGAGTCTGCACCTCCAAATCCCAGGGCTGCCTGGATAGGGCATCAGCATTGCGATTGCTCTTCCCAGAACGATACTTCAGCTCGAAGTCGAAGGAGGCAAGCTGAGCGGCCCAACGCTGCTCCACAGCACCTAGTTTTGCAGATGACAAATGGCTCAACGGGTTGTTGTCAGTGTAAACCAGGCATTTCTGTCCCAGCAGGTACTCCCTGAACTTCTCAGTGAGTGCCCACTTAAGCCCCAAGAGCTCCAGTTTCATCGAGCTGTAATTCGACATGTTTCGCTCAGGGGGTCTAAGGCCACGGCTGGCGTATGCAATGGGCCTTACCACCCCCTCCTGTTCTTGAGACAAGACTGCGCCTAGGCCATTATGGCTGGCGTCTACTTCCAATATGAAGGGAAGGGAGAAGTCTGCATATGCTAGAACCGGGGCCGAGGTGAGCTTTGCTTTAAGAGCATCAAAGCTCTGTTGGCACTCCTCAGTCCATGGCCCAGCAGCATTAGGGGAGACTTTCTTCCGAGTTGGCTTCCCTGTAAGTTCGGCCACTCTGCGATGTAAGGGGGCAGCCAACTTTGCGAAGCCCTCCACAAATCGCCGGTAGTAACTAGCAAACCCAAGAAAGGATCTAAGCTCGGTGGCAGTGTTTGGTGTAGGCCAGCTAGCCACTACCTCGATCTTGCTCGGGTCGGTGGCTACTCCCTGGTCAGAGATGATATGACCCAAGTAGCTCACCTCCGTCCGGAAGAAGCTGCACTTGCCCAGCTTGGCCTTCAGACCCTCGTTCTGCAGCCTACCCAGCACCACCGCCAGCCTCTCCAAATGCTCCGCGACTGTAGAAGAAAACACCACAATGTCATCCAAGTACAAGAGGAGAGACTGGCATTGTTGGTCCCCAAAAATGCGCTGCATTAGCCGCTGGAAGGTGCTGGGGGCATTGCAGAGCCCGAAAGGCATGCGATTCCACTCAAATAACCCGAATGGCGTACAAAACGCAGTTTTGTGCCGATCGCTCTCCCTGACAGGTACCTGATTATAGCCGCTGGCCAAATCCATGGTGGAGAACCACTTGGCACCTGTCAGGGCGTCGAGTGACTCCTCGATACGGGGGAGTGGAAACGCATCCTTTCGGGTCTTGCCGTTCAACCGACGATAGTCGACGCAGAGTCTGAGGCTGCTGTCCTTCTTCCGGACGAGCACTATGGGAGAGGCATAAGGACTCGAGCTCTCCCTAATCACCTCAGCCTCCAAGAGCTTACGGATGTGCTCCTTCACAAGCTCGTAGTCTGATGGTGGGATCCGGCGATAGCGCTGCCTTATAGGCGCGTCATCGAGAAGTGGGATGTCGTGCTCCACCAGGTTGGTACAACCCAAGTCCTGCTCATGGGCTGCAAACACAGTGTCATACCTCCGCAAGAGTGTTCGCACCTGTTCCTGCTCCTCTGTTGACAGCAGGGACAAATCCACCCGTTCGATTGGGTCCGTTGCTGAAGTGGCAGTGGCCTGTGCTGAGATGGTCGCCATAGCGGTAGGCACCTCAGTCACACCTGCCGGCAAACTAACCACATTTACATTATTAAGCGTTCCAACGACGGTGCGAGGGTACAGCAGTACGTCGCAGGTCCCTACATTAACAACTGGAACATAAGCAGTGCCTCTAATGACTTCAACCAACGATGGTGAGGCCAACAAACCGGAGGGCAATCCCGACTCCACGGGTTCAAAAAGCACTGGGTGGCCACTGTACTGTTCGGAACAAGTAGCGGGCACGACCTTCAGGCTGCCCGGAGGAACGCGCACAACCTGCTTCCCTCGGACTCTAACTCTCCCAGGGCGTGCATTGACTGGCACCTGGTGAGCTACATGGCACTTTTGGAGGGCGTCTACCAAGTAGGTAGGGGACGCCGCCACAGGAGCTGTGTTGAACAGTGCCGACCCATGCTGTCCAAAAAGTTCCTGATAGCACTTTCCGATCACGTTCATCCCCAAAACGCCGGGGACCTGAACTGGCATACCTGGTGGGTCCCTTACGACCAACACACCACAGCGGGGTATTGACTTACCACAGAGCACAACACTGAGTTCGAGGTACCCTACATAGGGGATAGCCAGCCCGTTGGCTGCTCGTAGCTGCAGCCAATTACAGGCTTGCAACCGCTCCACTCCTCGGGACTCAAAGTGTTCTCTGAAGAAACCCTCTGTGATTGTTGACACCATAGAGCCAGTGTCAACCAAACAAGGCACCGAAATTCCGGCCATATCCACTTTTATGTGCGGGCAAGACGCTATCAGTTTGGGAGCATCAACCAAACGGCTTGCAACTTTTGCTGAGCCAAAAGAGGCCCCACCCGGGCGGTGGCTCCTAGACCCGGGGGGAACTAGTTTTCCGACTGCTGTTGTACGTTACCACGAGACGGACGAGAAGAATGTTGCTGCCAATCGGGGGCACGCTGCCCGTCGCAATGCCTGGCTATATGACCTGGCCGTTGACACCTGTGACAGATTGTAGGTCCAGGACGAGGAGACAGACCTCTCTGGCGCTCTGATTGGAGAAGTGCGATGCTCCGAGTGAGCTTATCAAGCTGGTCCTGCTGCCGCTTTAGGAGTTCTTTCATGTCACTTACCTCTGGGCAAAGTGGATGGGGCACACTTGGGGGTCCACTGTGCACAGCATACTGGAGGCCAAATGCTGAAGGCACGGAGTTGCTTCGCCCACGGGCGCCAGCCGGCATACCCTCGCGCTCCCACCTCAATGCCTCCCCTCTGACCTCTATCAAGGTTGCGTTTGGATTTTGACGAACGTGTTGCTTCAACACACGGCGCAATGCTCCATCACAGACATACTCTATAAACTGGTCACGCATCAAACTCTCAGAATTCGGCATAGCATTAGGTGCACGCGCTTTGACTTTGTCCATAAGGTTTAATAAGGCTAGCGAGAACTCTAAAAGGGTCTCTCCCTCCTGTTGTTTACGTGAGAAGAAGGCTTCCTGAAGAGCCACATAAGAATCGGAGCAGCCATATAAATCCTTAAGAATAGAAAGTATTTTATTTGGGTCGTCTCTGTCTGCACTGCTACGATATTTCAGCTCATGTCGTGCTTCGCCTTCTAAATGGTCGTATAAGAAGAATGCTTTATCAACTGGTTGCGATAGGTGTCGTGACCTCATGCAGGCTTCCGCTTCTTCAATCCAATCATTAAGGCTAAGCCCAGTGTGTCCTCGGAACATGGGACATTTCCGATCTCGTGGAACATAAACAAACCTATCCAGTGCAGGCGCAGTAGCGGTCCCAGCACCAGATGGTTGAGCCTGGTCTGAGCGCAGCCTCACGTTCTCCGTCGTCAAGTGGGCCACTTTGTCCCTCAGTCTCTGCAGTTCTTCCTCCATTATTCTACACGCGCAAATGCCAAAAAAAATGAGTCTGGAAAAATTTTTACAAATACGATCTACAAACTCCGCCGCCACACGCCAACAACTGCTGCTGCTGCTTTGCCCCAGACTGAAAAACAAACAAAATGGTTGAGAATGTGTGACCTGTTCACAAAAAGAAAGCCACTACACAAGTAGCTCTACATAAATGCATGAAATTCAGTTTTTGAATATGGTTGTGAGTGAAACAGTACACCTGCACCAGCAATTATTCCAGTGGTCACAATACCTTAGCTTCAAACAGAAAATATACATCAAAATCAAATGTACACAGCAAATCAAAGTGCAAACCACACAAACATGCAAATAGCATAGGCAACTGGTACTGTTCGATTGACTTTAGCAGTGACTATTTTTCACAAAACTTTAACTGACATTTCAAAACATTTTTCACAACATAACTGGAACCTGGGCATCTGTTTATTCAATATCCTGCCAGCAATAAGCCAAATCTGTGGCAGCCTAGGGGTGGTGGTAATAGGATTTAGAAAATAAGTTACATTAATTAATCATAACTGGTTAAAATATGTAAGTATTAAAATAAACCAAGCAACGCCACGACCGGAATTTCACCGGAAGAGTACTGTACTATAAATTAAGGACACACAGGTAAGTATTAAAAGATTAGAATGCACCAGGTTCCAAGTTTGACAGGTTTATTTTACAGTGTGGTCAATACAGTTCAGTCTTTTTATTTAATTTAAATGGATAAGAACTAAATGCTATACTCTCTCACTCGTTCGCACACTCACTCACTCTTACTGTTATTGCACATTCCCACAAGTATACGCCCCAGAACCGGGACGCAGCACTCGTTAAAGTGCGTGAGTGCTAGACGCAGGCGTCCACAGCTGCGAAGGACATGGAGCAGCAAAACAGTGGGGTGAAACAGTCACAAGGCAGAGCAGCGAAACAAAGTGCGATAGCGATACGAAGCTGCGAAGCCAAGCAGCAGATAAAGCAGCTGAAGCCAAGCCAAAGCAGCAGGAATCAAGGCAAAATAAAGCAGGAGCCAGGGCAAAGCAGAGCAGCAGGGGGCGTGTGCCAGTGCCGCTGGAACGCACCTATAAAAGAATGAATTTAGAATATTACCTAAAATAACCCTAACTAAATAAATAACAAAAAGGGGACAAAATAAATCTAAATAGATAAGCCTACCAATTAGAGCCCCAAGAACGAGTGGTCCACAGCTTTAGGCCAAACAGGAGGCTGCGCTCAGAGCAGCCACTATGAATGGGCGGACCAAACCCGCGCCACTTGTGGTGCGTAATGCTGATCACCACCAGCTAGATAAAAAGGTCCCAGTTAAGATTAGAACTATGCATGAATGAATTTTGCTATTAAATAATTACCTTTAATAATTAGGTACACGCCACAGCGCATAGGACAGCGCAGCCCGTAGGCTTGGGTCAAGCAGCGTGACTACAAAGCGTGGATTACATTACAAAACTGTGCGAATTTATGAATGAACCGAAGCCTGCATGATTATACCTGTCGCTGCAGTCGAAGGCACGCTACAGAGGCCACTGTCGCACGAGAGTGCAGACGCAGGGCAAACACAGGAGCTGGGAAAAGATTGCGTTTTGTGAATGTGCATTCTACATGTTGTATTGGAAGCAGTGGTTTACCTGGCGCGCAGAGGTTTTTGGGTGCCTAGAGGAACCAGACAGCAGCACTGGAATGCGTGGAGCTGGGACAAACTCACAGCTGCAGAGGCGTGAGGGCAAAGAGGGGCAAATGAGGGGAGGAGCGCTTATAAAGCCCACCGGGGCGGCCCGTGGGAAAGCAGGCGCACCCTCAGCACTGACCTCAGAAGCCGTTTTACCACACATGCATACTTGTAAGAGAGTGTCCTGTGAGTCGATAAAGCCCTTTTTCCATCAGCCCTACTCGGCCCAACTCTTCTATACTCGACTCTATCTTTGTGTTTGCATTAGTGGTTCTAACCTGGGTTTGATCGAACACTAGGGGTTCGGTAGAGCCTGTGCTGCCGAGGTAGGACACACGCAAATTATCTAGTGACAGGCAAACAATCCCATGCTCCTGTGTTGGAGCGTGTATCCTCCATCCATCCATCCATCCATTTTCTTCCCCTTAATCCATTTCTGGGTCGGGGGGTGGCAGTCAGAGCTGCACCCAGTACACATAGCACCAGCCCCTCACTGATCCTCCTGCAGGTGGTGAGTCCACAGGAGCTGAGATCTTTCAGTGGGGGCTTCGGGCAAAGTGGGGTTAAGTGTCTTGCCCAAGGACACAACGACAGCAGTCATCAGTGGGAGTCGTGAAGTAGGTCTTATGGTGGGCTTGAACCCACAACCTTCAGGCACAAAGGCCAATGCTCTACCAACTGAGCCACTGTCGCCCAGCGTGTATCAAAGCAGCCAAAACAAACGTGTCAGTGTCTTTGACTCTGCACCACTGCTTTGCTTTGTATCAACTGTCGGTGTGTCGAAGCGGTTCATTAGCTCAATGCACTTGAAACAGTCTCAGCCTCAGAGCGCTATGAGGCGTCATATTCCCATAAGTCAGCCAAGAAAGCCCTGGATGTGTTTGTGAACAATCGTTTTTGAGGGTGCTGGACATAAAAACAAAGAAAAGGAACAGACTTAGCTGTGAAAATGACGTGAGAGTGGCCAGCGGCATAGGGTAGTTGCGCAAGGTCTCGGTGCATATCTACAGAGTGCATACTGGGCATCTCCAGGGCCCCTGCCTCTTATCTAAAGGGCCCATCGCTGCACATTAAAGAGCCACAGGCCCAGGTGCCTCGCACCAGCTGCACCGCCCCCTACGCCGCTGAGAGTGACACTGCTTCAGTGTCATGGTATCCATGGAAATGATTTTTCTTCTAGCAGCACTCTGGCCAACCTCAGATAGAACACTTAACTTGGATAGAACCAGGGCTAAACAGCTTCCAAAACGCATAATGACATGTAAAGCGTCTTTGAGTGTCCAAAAAAGCGCTATATAAAACCGATGCATTATTATTATTATTATCATACTGGTTCAACAGGGCCAGTGGAAACGCTCTCAAGCCGGACAGAGAAGAGGTGTAGACCTGAGATGGGCCAAGTAGGTCTGGTGGAAACCTAACCTAATTACTCTTCAAGCTGACAGTGGTCCTCTTTTTCACTTTTCGGTCTAAAACCTGATCTAAAGACGTGACAGAGAGCAAAAATACATGAAAACTAGTGATAGAATAGTTTTAAATTTGAGGAAGTAGTCACACATGTTCTCTGCTCTGACCAGATTATTATTTGATCGAGAAATGTTTGAGACTTACTCTGTTTTCAATAGACATAAAAAGTAACTGATTGAAATTACAACTTACAGGGCCCGATCAAAAGTACAGGTTTACAAATGTATTCAAGGTATGATAAGAGAAGAACACCATTGCCCTTTTAAAGTACATACAAGAATATCAGTTATTAGTTACTAAAATTCCACCCCATGTCTTTTCAAACCCAAACACTATGAAATGAGTGACATAAATCTTAAATATGATTGGTATGCGTCCCTCAAATAATTGGTTTAAATCTTTTAGGATTGTTTAATATTCCTTAGTGCCCGGTATAAATGTCAATCAATAGGCCTACCTACAATTATCAAATGGAGAACTTATAATGAAAGCTTACACTGAAATCTTCTGAGTCTGATTTGTCTCAGTCAGTCACTAAGTGTTCAGGCTGTGCACATGATGTTCATTATGATAACAGAATGAATGAGAGAGAAGAGCGTGCTCAGACTAACCATATGCATGTGAGTGCGATACCACCGCATGTGACAAGACGTGAAGGCTTCAATTTCAAACATTATGTGGTTCATCGTGGGGGACGCCGTAACAGTCAGTTTACCTACCAAATCATGTAGTTTTTCAGGTAATAAAGGCATAATTTTGGAAAGAGGGGACAAAAATAAATTTCAATACCATGTGTTTGAAGCGTGGAGTGGGTGGGAAACTTACTGGGTGAGAGATTCTAAGAGGATTTTCCATCTTAACGTTTTCCTCACTGTCACAAACAGTCAGTCACCTGGAGGTGATCCCTGAGAACAGAGAAAAAAAAGTTTATGTGTAAGGAACAAGAGCAATCCTTCAGAACTCTGCGCATAGGTGTCCTCTGAGAGCCCCGGGTTTCCCCAAACTCCATGCACAATCATGTACAATAGCCTCCTTCCCTCAAGAGTCAGAACTATCCTGATTCAGTAGATGTAAACGTAACACTTAACATGAGTAAGTTGATATACCGATGATCACATGAATTAGTGAGTTTCTCTTTAAATGGTGGCCAGGATGTTTGTTGTTGTCTGTAGCCTTAAACTCATTCATTCTGGATCTGAAATCCTCTTTGAAAGTGCAGCACTGGTTGAAAGCAGGATTAACCCATTGACAAAGCTTTATGGAGCTCATGTTATTCAACTTGCAGAGCAAAGCTCGGGGCATTTTCTTTGTAATGCAATGCTTTTTCATTACCATTACCAGATCTTTCATAGGCATTATAGTCTGGACCTCCGCCAGCCTCTCAGCAGTGACATGTTCTGTCGTTGGCATCATTTCCACGACAACACCCTCTCACTGGGAGAATCTCCTAGGTGACGCCCTCTGATGACACGCCCAGAGGTGGCTTGTGCATTTGAAGGCAGGTGCATCCTGAGCACGGACAGCACGAGGAGGCTGGCACACTTCTATCTTGCTTTGGTTTCTGTGGAAGTATTTTTGCTGAAGTTGGCGGAATCAGCAAAGACCTTGAAAATTGTTTTTTTCTTGTTTAAAAAAAAAAACTATTTTACTTTTTCCTTTTCTCTCAAAAGTAGGACTTGACACAGGAAGCAACGTGCTAGTATTGTGGCAGTTGGAACGTGAATTCTCTATGATGGAAGAACATGGATTTGAACAGTTTGGGACACATGGTGCAAGAGCCAATGCACATGTAGATCTCACGGGAATTGTAGATGCTGCTCAACTTTCTCCTCATAGACCTTTTCTATCGCCTGATGGAGACGTTTTTTTCCGACAATCTATTCATGGCCATGAAAGTGCTGCTCGTCGGTATAGTGCCAACCGATGTCAGGCTGGGTTAGGCCCAGAAAGGTAATTGTTTCTATTTTTGTTTCCAATGTTTAGTGTTATTTTATGCACTGTTTAAAAATTTTTTTTTTAGTGATAATAGATTTCACTAGATACCTACACTCATCATTTCATACACTGTCAACAGAGAGCCACTGGCTTCAACAGTATGGGTTGCAAATGTAAATGAGTGATTGTGTGTACAAGATCGGATTTCATGCTAATTTACATAAGTGCAAATAGCTTTCAATGAAAGTGCAAACTAGAAGCAGGCCTTAACTATCAAATACATTCTGCTTTGGCACTTGTGCAACTTCATACGGCCTGTTGTCTCCATTGGTGAATACTGAACTTCTCTGCACTGGTACAAATGTTTATAGAGATAGACATGGACACACCATGAGCAAACAAAGAGCAATTGTATAGATAGACACATTTAAGTGACAAATGTACAGTTTTTGTGTGCATTTGGATGCACACCATTTGGATTCTGGGTGTTGTAAACTGGAGTACCTAACTTTAAAACTAAAAAAATCAACTATGTAATAACATCATGTAACAAGTAGCTCTTACAACTGTTTAATTCCATCACTGTTTTCACATTCATATAATTTAGCCTCTGTCACATCTTTAGATCAGTTTGAGTGAAAAAGAGAATAGCAGCCTTCACTTAGCCAATCGGCCCACAGTATGGAAAAGATTTATAAGAATTATAAAGCATTATAAGAGCAAGAATGCTCTGGAAAACATTATGTAATATGAAACACAAATGAACCCTATTCTAGCTGCGTTGAAAAAAAACCTACCAAACACCAATGCATTCTGAACCGAGGTGTGTACCAATAAACTGTATGACACTTTGTAGGGCAAGAAGACCTAGTATCAAATGAAAACATCCAGGCCAAGCTCACACGTCACTCATTATGAACATTAATTACATGGGTGTGGGAGGTTATGCCAGGATAAGCACGCCTCTTGTGGACGAAGGGATGTGACGCGGCGGCTGCTGCCTGTACATAACACACATCATCGCGCACTCGGAAAATCCTATCATTCAAGACTGACGAGCAGCTCTTTTTACAACTTGGATCTATCGGGTTCACCCCTTGTGCGTTTTTGAGGTAATCGCAAGCTGTCACACGTCGCTTGCGGATGAAACTTCCATGGCTTTATCCTGGGAAGTTTATCAAGGCGATTCAACGTGGGCATCTGCTTCCCCCATGTTGTTTGCTAGCCATAGTTAGAAAATAAATTAAAACAATTGATTGACTCTCAACTGGCTTAACCATTAATTCTGAATAGAAATTCCATCTGCATTATTTCATAAGAAAGTGTCTCTTGGCGGGTGTATTGCCTTTGTGTCAGATTAGACCCATGCTAATGCTACATGCTAACACATTTCTTGCACATGTCTTCGATGTAAACGCAAGGCATGAGGTTATTTGTTATTTTAACTTAATACTGCTGGAGTTTTGTGTGTACTAATCTGGTTGCTGAAGCCAACATAATGCATTGTTCAGAATCAATGTTTAATTTTTATCTGATGGGATTTACAATTGTATGGATATTATTTCTATTATTATTAAATATGAAACACAGGTTTGAAGTTTAGATTATCACCGTATTATTGTCATAGTTTAGATTATCACCGTATATTTTGATTATATCCTCCACGCTTCTGAAACAAGAATTAAATAAACTTGTTTAGTCGTGTTGCATGTGGGTTAACAGTGCGGACCTATGATTGTTGTAAAAATATAGTTTTAATGACAATAACACATACAATACAGTTGCGTTTGGACTAGTCTTGGGGTTCTAATTTGGCAAACCTACAATAAATGTTAAACTCAACGATTCATGTTAATGGGTCACTCTGCTACGTTTGTGCGCAGTGACGTGTTATTTATCCGTGGACACGTTTCTCATATGTTTATTGTCTTTTTTATTCATTCTTGTCCTTGCATGCACATCACTCACACCTTTATGACCACCGTTGGTCTGGCAAGAATATTTTCAATAATAATAATAATAAAAGTAGTTCTTCCGTTGACGCATGCGCACTTCCGTTGTCTGATTTGAAGATGTTGCTTGTCCTATGTCTGGTGTGCTTTAATAAGGTCAAACAAGAGCTGCAAGTTGATGATTAGACAAGTGCTCTAAAAACATTTCCAGACCAGTCTGGACTCAGAGTGTTGTACTTACACTCAATGAAATAACTGTTTTGTTTCTACAGCATGGCCGATTACTTAATCAGTGGGGGGACAGGTTATGTTCCTGAAGATGGACTATCAGCACAGCAGCTTTTCTCTATTGGAGATGGCCTCACATACAAGTAAGTGTTGTTTTTGTGTAAAACTGTATTCATCGTTAACCTCTCATTTTATTCCAATATAAGTATTACATAAAGAGGCTATTACGGTTGCCTTATTAAGAGAAACTCTACTTTGAGTACAACTCCACACGAGTACTTTATAACGGCCAACACATTTTGAACCAGCAGATCTGACCAACAGTGTGTTGTCTCCGATGGTCATACGGCTGAAGAGCTATGCTCTAAAGGAGATGGGTTGACGTACAAGTGAGTAAAACAGCTGCAGAAAAAATGCACAGCTGATTATCTGTTGTGAAATACATTGTAATGGGAAAGCAAATTATTGTCACTCTAAATGTTTGTTTTACATTTACAGAGAGACGTTATTATTAATGAAATCTTGCCGCAAAACTGCATGAATGTTAATGATTAAAGGGTGGCGTTTTAACTAACCAGTAATAGGAAAATAATTTGCTTCAATTAGTAAAACTCTATATCTAATTTGAATTTACCTTGTCTTGTTGTTTGTTCTTACGTTAAAGCTGATACTACTTTGTAATATTACATTACCTACTAATGCTATTTGGAAAACACGCCTATCTAATATGACTAACTGTACATTGTATACCATAAGATTTGCTTTGTACCATAAGAGTGTTTTCATCTCTGCATGTGCAATGGCCTTTTATTCAATAACTTGGATTTTTTACAAATTTATCTTGTTTTTTAAGTCTTATATTATTTAACGTTCTTGAAAACCCCATTAAGGACCGCTTACACCCAGCTTGACTTACACCATGACCAAAGTAAAGTTCAGCACATGATGGTTCAGTTGACATCAGGTGACCCAAGACTGGAGATAGTTAATTTAGGTTTCACAGTTGGACATCTGACTTTGGATCTAAGGAAAAAGGGCTACTCTTCGGAATGATAATGTCCTTTTCTTTTAACATTACTAGTGATAATTCAAATGAGAGCATCAAGAAAGTTAATTTATAAAAATCAATATTTTTGCCAAGCCTTAAGATGTTCTTCTAATTAACAGCAGATGTGTACTAACTTGCTAAATGGTTATTGTGAATCAAACGGCAACTTTTGGTGTATAAGAATTATTAAATTGTGCTGATAAACAATGCCTGGATCAATCTCTTATTTTATCTCATAATTCATCAAAAAACTATTTATTTATTCTGTAAATCCACAAAAATACTTTTACAATACATAAACAGCCACACATGTTTTTAATGTGATCATTGATTCAAGGTGATAATTTATCACCTTTTTGATAACATTTACTCTAATACTCTTTAATGATACTGATTTTGGATGTAGAATGTTTGTGTGTTTGTAAATCTCAATGTTGCGGTACACAACCTGGATACAAGTCTTTGTGTCAATGTATGAACACATCTTACTCATTAATTAGAAATAATAATAGTTAGCTAATAGCTTCATTGAAATCATTAATCATTTATTTTGGTAAAAATTACCTTTAGACCTGGTTTTCATATCATTTCTCAAGGGGCTGTGTGGGTGCAGGTTTTCAAACCAACCAAGCAACACACCAGACTCCACCCGTTTCATCAAGAGTCCAGTCTTAACCCATCCCTTTGAGGAACAAGTTGAATACCTTAAGTTAACAAAACTACTGCAATGTACCTAACAACTGAAGGACAATAGTCAACATCTGATAGGTAAGGTATTTTGAAGCGATTTATCACACACCAGTCATTTTCAGAAGATTTCGACATGACACAGGCCTTGTCTAGATCTTGAACACAAGCAGAAAGAAATGGGGCAAATAATCTTCTAGTGTGTACTGAAAATTGTCATAGATTTAATCCTTTTTGCATACATCATTAAAAAAAAAACGTTTATTACCGACAGCCAGCAGTGGGTTTTAAAGTGGCTGAAATTAGAGCTGAAACTGTTTGAGTCCAATTTTATAATAATCTACAATAACAACAATAATAATCTAATTTACAATTAGATTATTATTGTTCTTCTTGTCTTGTAAGAGGTGCAGAGCTGTACTTAAGTGTTTGTATTGTGCTAGTAAAAGATCTGCTTTCCTCTTATAAAACAATAATCCAGGAAACTGGGCATGGCTAAGTGGTTTGTACCTTCTTATTATTTACCTTTTATTTAGCCAGGAAATTCCCACTGAGTTTTTAGTGGCAGGGGAAACTGGAGGATAGTTAGGACCTTCTTGCTGTGAAGCACAAGTGCTAACCACTACACCATCATACAGCCCAAGGTTTTAGCAAGTTTATTTGGTTTCCCCTTTATTCTTGTTAATCCAATGCGGTTAAACACTTCTTCTGAGTCGGTATGCTCGCCTCTGTTTGCGTCTTTCAATTAGCTTGTAATTACATAACTATGTGGTCTTCATTTTGAATTGCCTCCATTAGAAGCCTGTTTGTATAGATTTAACAGTCAAATCCAAACCATAGGGATTCACAGCAAAGGTTTAACATAGCATTGGGTGAGTAGGCGTAGGCTCGTGTCTACAGTTGAGGTTGGTGGTTGCTGCTAAATTCTAGCAGATGCCATGACCTTTTTGTGTAACAGTATTGATGTCTGTGGGCATTTGGGCTATAAAAAGAAAGGTATGATTTCTATCATCAGTAAATCAAGTCTTAGTCTTTTGTCCCATATAAGGCTAGATTTATACAAAAACACGTTATTATCTTTGTCTCATAAGAATTACTTTTGATGTACACTCCTTGTCCTTACACACTACAAGCTGTAACAGCTGGTTTTTCATTTTAAAATATATATATTATGTTTTTCAGTGACTTCCTGATCCTACCTGGGTTTATTGACTTTACCTCAGATGAAGTGGTGAGTAAACATTGAAATGAACTGGGTATGTATTCAGGAAGGCAACAACTTCAGTTTTCCGACTTTCTAAAATTATGTGTTGGTTAACCTGGAATTTTTCCGGCCCTGCATCTGTTTCTGCCTTCCTGCGGTCACCCGCTGACGACTTTCTTACTCATGTTTACGTCTGTGTCTGGTTCATTGCACCAATTCCCAGACTGGTCTTGCCTTCTCAGATTAACTCGCTTCTTTGCTTTATCATTTTTTTTTTTTTTGGATATTTATTCCCGGAACTGCAAGGGACCCATGCTCTTTAAAAATGGCAGACTTCCCTATCTGAAGGCTGTTCACAAAAGCTTAGTGTGTTGAGTTATTTAAACCTGAGCCTATTTGACTTGCTTTTTGGCTTCGGTCGCAACTTTGAGCAGCGTTTCTTGTCCCTACATGTATCGAATCTCTTCAATGTTCTGCAGTATAATTGCACCGCACTATTATGGCAAATACTGAGGAGTTTTGAAGTCTCAGTTGAATTTAGCAGGTGGGTGTTGGATTGGGGCCAAGACTTTCACTTGGAACCCTTGAGAAAAGCTGTGCAAAAGCGTATGTTTATGTCTGTCTTAGATAAGAGGACTTGGTTTTCGTCATCCTGATTTGTCTTATTTGCTTGGTTCTCATGTGCCAAGAATGTCATTATTTACACTGAACTCTACAAACTGTGTATTTGTTGTGAGAAAATGTCCAAAAGATTCACTCCCATTTCATGTTGTAATATTATGTATTGAAATTCATGGGATCTTTAATGCTCTTGGTTTCTTCATTAAAACATTACTATAACTTATTATACTACAACAACAACATAAAGAATATTGAAGACTTGGTTGCCCCCTAGTGGATGCAACGCGTACTATGATTAAGACTTTTTTTTTTCTTTTTTAATTTTCTTTTCTTTTCTCCAGGATCTTACATCTGCACTGACTAAGAAGATCACATTAAAAACACCTCTCATCTCCTCACCCATGGACACGGTTACAGAGTCAGCTATGGCTATTGCTATGGCTGTAAGTGTCCAAAGTCTAACTCAAGTTTATCATGATACTGAGTTGAGTAACTAGATGTGTTTTCCCTTGTAGTTAATGGGTGGGATTGGCCTCATTCACCACAACTGCACTCCAGAATTTCAAGCTAATGAAGTTCGAAAAGTGAAGGTGAGTTTCACAAAACTCACACATTAACTGTAATTCAGTTTAAATGTGTAATTGTTGATGTTTTTTTGTCTTCTATTAGCGCTTCGAGCAGGGATTCATCACAGATCCCGTCGTGATGAGCCCGAGACATACTGTTGGGGATGTGTTTGAGGCCAAAGTACGTCATGGTTTCTCCGGTATTCCAGTCACGGAGACGGGCAAGATGGGTAGCAAACTGATGGGCATCATCACCTCGAGAGACATCGACTTTCTCACTGAGAAGGAGCACGGCCGACCTCTGGAGGAGGTGCCTATAATGGAATATGTCTGTTATGTATTGTTTGATTTTTTTTTCCTGCATTTTAATTGTTTCATTTATATTATAGGCCATGACTAAGAGGGAAGATCTGGTGGTTGCTCTAGCTGGTGTCACACTGAAAGAAGCCAACGATATATTGCAACGCAGCAAGAAAGGTAAACACTTATTCTATTTTATTTGCTTTTTTATACCAGGATAGTTCTCCTTTCGACTGTCGTTCTTGTCAAGTGAGAGGAAACGAGCTCCTAATTTGTGAGAAAGAAAAAAAAAATCCTTATTTGGGTAGAAATCCTGCTTGGGCCTTCTTCAGGGGATATTTATGGCCAAGCACCTGACAAAAACTGACCCACTGAAGCGCTCCTCTTGCTTAAGCTTCCAAAAGCTCAGAATATATTTTGAAACCTTTAATTTTTTCTCAGGTAAACTTCCCATTGTAAATGACAATGATGAATTGGTGGCAATCATCGCAAGAACTGATCTCAAGAAGAACAGGGACTACCCCCTTGCCTCCAAAGATTCTCGAAAACAGTTGCACTGCGGAGCTGCCATCGGCACAAGAGAGGATGACAAATACAGACTGGATCTCCTGGTGCAAGCTGGAGTGGATGTTGTTGTTCTGGTAAGATGAGTTTGCTTTAGTTATTATTGAGCCTTTATCTATTTTATAATCATATGAATTTCTGTATGTATTGCACTTTTAAAGATAAAGTATCTCCCAATCTCTTCCTTAGGATTCTTCCCAAGGCAACTCAGTCTATCAAATCAACATGATTAATTATATCAAGCAGAAGTATCCAGAACTGCAAGTTGTCGGGGGAAATGGTATGTCTATTTGTGACGATTGAGATTAGCACATAAGGTTTGAATAATGCCCTTTCAAAACTGATCATCAACAATAATCTCATGAGCACGATGTATAATACTAATCTTAAAGGGGCAGTATGTAAAAGTCTGGCCAAATGTGGTACTGCACTCTCCCCGACTCATGTTGCCAGATATGCAGACAAATCCAGCTGGAACCACAATAGCTGAATAGACAAAGAGTTTTGTCAACATCAAATCTATAACCAAACCTTTTCCACAAAGGCCCGATAGAAATCCTTTTATGGAACTGCGGCCACATGTTACTATACCAGTGGTGAGTTCTGGCAACACAGATCACGGCCTTTCTGATTGGTAAAACAGTGGAGGGCGGGACATCAAAATGAAAACAATAACAAGATTTAAGGGCTGTAAAAAAAAAGAAAAATTGAAATTCAATTATCTCACTGAACTACTGTTACCAGCTTATGATGTGATTCATGGTTTTTTAATGCCTTTTGACAGATTAAGGCCATTTATTGATGACTTGACATGAAAATCTTACATATAGCTACTTTAAACATAAGTAAACGGGTTGTAAACATCTACATTGTAATTATAATTAAAAACTCCACTTATTGGCCTCTCCTTTCTCTCGCTTTCAGTGGTTACAGCAGCTCAAGCCAAGAATCTGATTGATGCTGGCGTGGACGCGTTGAGAGTTGGCATGGGCTGCGGCTCGATCTGCATCACACAAGAAGGTACAAGTCTTTTAGAAAGGACACGCCTCTTTCTTGTTCAAATACAGGTGAAACGTTCAAAAAGTTAATTTGTTTTTGTAATTCACCTTTAAATATGGAACCAATATACAGAATGAGCATACAAAGTGATGTCCAGCCTTTTTGGTTTTAATTTGCATGATTATGGCTTACAGTACATTTTCCAAATATTCAGATTTTATGAAATGTGTTTTACAAACTAAGTCAATTATCAACATAAAAACACAAATGCTTGAGAGATGAGATGAGATGTACTTTATTGTCTCACAATGGAGAAATTCAGTTCGATGAATGATACAATGGTACATCTCATTCCGCATGTATCGAGTCTTTCATATAAACAATAAGGACTAATGAACACTGCCAACTTGATTCCACGTGTCTTTCTCGCATCATTGCAATATCCTTATCTTATACCAGAATGTGCAATATACAGATGTAAACATACTGCTGCTAATGTACAGATGTAAACATACTGCCGCTAATGTACAGATGCTAACATATATCTACACTTTACTTGCACTAGAATACACAGTACTTTATACTTGCCTCTTATTTTGTCAATGTTAAATTTTTACTTCTATTATATTTTCAAGAGAGATTTTATACTTATTATTATTTTTGATGCTAGAGTTAAATTGTTTTTATTTTGATTAGTATAGCTTTGTTCACTTAACGTGTGCCTTGTGCTCCTCTTTCCTACTGTTCTATAACTTGTGATGCAACACCGACATTTCCCCACTGTGGGACAAATAAAGGATCTCTTAATCTCAATAATAGTTTCAGATTGCAAGTTGTTTTCTAGAAGTAAATGGACAGAAGTACATTCTAATTTCCAGAGTTTCACCAATACACTTTCTATCATGGTTATAGCTTGCATTAAATTAAATCTGTTCAGTTCTGTTCTGCCATTTCTACCTTTTCTGTTTGCTTATTTGATTACTTGAATTGGATATTAGCGCTCTTAATCTAGACCCCATTTTAAGATAAAACCTTTTATTCTGATGTTGTCTTTAATGTTTTCCTATGCTGTGTGTTCAACACTGTGGTCAACGAGGTTGTAATGTGCTATACAACTAAATGTGACTTGTCTGCTTAATCACTGAGTTTTTCCTTCTATATAGTTTCCAAAATGAAAGCAAAAAATTTTATTTGAATGTGGAAAAAGTCCTCCAAATTTTGCAGGCTGTTGCATTCACCTTGAAATTAACAAGAAAGTCTATTATTTTGATGTTATTGACTGAAATAAAACTCTTATTACTGAATTCTTTTTTCCTCTTCAGTCATGGCGTGTGGGAGGCCCCAGGGAACATCGGTGTACAAGGTAGCAGAGTATGCCAGGCGCTTTGGAGTCCCGGTTATAGCGGATGGTGGCATTCAAACTGTGGGACACGTTATAAAGGCACTTTCTCTTGGAGCATCAACTGGTAAGAAAATGTGAAATTGAAAAAGATGAAAAGATCTTAATACAATTTTTCCTTTTCCATAGTGATGATGGGTTCGTTGCTGGCTGCAACCACTGAGGCTCCAGGGGAGTACTTTTTTTCAGATGGTGTTCGGCTAAAAAAATACCGTGGTATGGGCTCTCTGGACGCAATGGAGAAGAACGCAAGCAGCCAAAAGCGCTACTTTAGGTGTGTGTGAGGTGTTAGTCAATTTGATGCTTCATAAATACAAAATGTGTTTACACAACTACTCACAAGAAGGATATTTGGCTTTTAGGCGTAATGTAAATAGAACATCATGTTTTTTTTCTTTTTTTTCTCATCTCTGCACAGTGAGGGAGACAAAGTAAAAGTGGCCCAGGGTGTTTCGGGCTCCGTGCAGGACAAGGGATCCATCCACAAGTTCATTCCTTACCTTATTGCTGGTATCCAGCACGGTTGCCAGGATATCGGGGCCAAGAGTCTCTCTGTACTTCGGTAAGCATTCAGTTCAATCTACACTCTGTCTTCCTCTCATTAATCTCTATGTATTGAAATGCCTCTAGGTCAATGATGTACTCTGGAGAGCTTAAGTTTGAAAAGCGTACCACGTCTGCACAAATGGAGGGTGGCGTTCATGGTTTACATTCGTAAGTATTATTGTTTTCTTACCTATTTGAATTGTCTTGTTCTGTCCTACAACATTAATATGACTTTTTTTCCCTTTTTTTTAACAGTTTTGAGAAGCGTCTATATTAAAATAGTGGAAGTACAGTTACAAATGTCCTACTTTCCCAGATAAAATATGACCAAAAGTTCTGTACTCGTCACGCTCTACCCAATCTTTGACCCTCATGTCCAATAATGATACAATCACTGAGCCAGCTGCTTGTGAGGAGGAGGGCATCATCTGGAACAATCGCAACAATCAGTGTTTTTTTCAGGTTCTTCACAATAAAAATGGTCCTGAGAAGCAGCTAATCCCAATTAATTTTAAACAGAGCAAATGTGAATGTATAGTTCTGAAGTCGGAGGGGTCCTCTCTTGTGTTTGCCTTCTGTAGTAGATAAAAGTGGCCATTTATAGAATCCTTCAGAAACCTTTCCACAAGCTGTATTTTCTTAATTATTTTGCAAAATAACTTATTTTAGATTTATGCTACTTTTCTCATTTATTCCATTTCCCTTTTGTCAACCTTTTTCTGCTAATATTCTTGGCTTGTTGTTTACATAATCCCGAGGTACACAATGCTGGCTGACAGTATTATTTTTATTTAGTGGGTTCATCACACTTTTTGCCATTGTATACAGTGATGTCTTGAGCCAAATGTGCTTCCCGCTCAGACAACTTTTTGTTCAGCAGGAAGGGACCAAATGCTTGATTGGAGGCGTTTAGAATGAATATTGATTATGCATTGTATTGACTTACCTAAGTTTGTGTCACAATATCTTGAATTTTTTTTTTTTTACGGGGCCTTGATGTCCCCCCCCCCCCAACTGTATTGCAATTGCTTACATACTGCCAAGTCTATATACACTTCTTTTCAGACTCCTTTTTTTTTTTTTATTGCTCAAAACCAAAATTGCCACAAAAATTGCTTTTGACTTCTGTTTACAAAAAGTATACCTACGAGCTAAAAGTAAATAAAATAACCCACCACAGAAATACAAGTGCCCTACGTTTGAAACCCTTCCACTTCGATGTTTTATTTAGGGGTGGGTGATGTTGACAAAAAACACATCAGAATTTATTTTTGTACTTTTTCTATCCATGTCATTCAGGCAATATTGTGGCAATAAATCTTAATTGTACTAATTCATGCTTCTAGATGTGTGCGTAAATATTCATAATAACTTAAAACTAAAGACTAACTGAAAAAGTGCAGTCATTGAAGCTGCACATGTTTGTTTGTTTGAAAGACTAAACTTTTGTCAATTGGATATTTTTCAATTATTCCTGACTACAATACTCAAATACTTGAAATGTTGCTTATCCTCAAAGAGAAAAGAGAAATATTGCAAAATACATGTTTTGATTTGTTACCCACTTCTACTTTACCCATAACAAGTGTTCTGTGAACAACAGTCTCTTGTCCTCGAGTCAGTAAATGATGATATATTTGTATAATTCAGTCGTAGTTGTGATGTACAGGGTGGCGAAGTACTCATGTTTGATGAATTTGGAGGTAATGCGTTTTCAGTTGACCCAGCGAAGGAGAGATTTCTGGATTGTAATCTGTTACATGTTCTTTGTGTATCCACTATGTACTATGACCATCCTAAAAGCACAAATGTTTTCTAAGATATTTAGCAGTGTTGCAATACATCCTCAGGTGCCGGACACACTGGTGGCTTGGACATTTCCAATAACATTTTAGATGGATACACTTGTAGATTATCAGGATTGCTAAAACACAAGAAACCTGCTTTTGTTGTTCAATATATTAAATAATAAATACATGTAAATATAATTTGCTCTGTGTTGATGTTTTTGGGGCGTACAATTAAATAATGAAGGCCATACAGAGCAGTAATAAAAACGGACTTTATTAAACTCTTTGAAATGATGAGTGGACATAAATAAGATAGTTAGGGTTTGCTGCCTTTATGAGAACAAGTTTAAGCTGGGGTATCCCATCAAGCCATACAAATTACCAAAGCAGTCTGATCCATCTAGCTAGTTCCTGGCCATACAACACTTTGTGTCTATCTCTAGTTTTCACATGTATTTTTGCCTCTCACATGTTAAGATCTGCTTTTTTAAACAGAAAAGTGACAAATAGGACCAACCTCACTCGCCCAATGGGTTGTTATTATAATAGATCCATTGTTGTGCAGCGTCCAATGGTTACTCAAGATACAATGTTTTCCATTAAGATACAGTGTTCTGATTTGTACACAGTATTTTACAAATGCAAGACTTTCTGTTCTGGACAAATACGTTATTATTGATGAAGGCAGTTAGGTACCCTAGCTTTAAATCTTCAGAACTGCATCCAATCGTAAACCTCTACATAAAGATGACTTGTAAAGGTACACGCTTTCACCAGCAGAGGGAGCCATGTACTGTGGCAGTAAATGTTTTTTGGGAATGTAGAACCATCCTGTTGTGGATATATTAATGTCAGCGTGTGCACATAAAGCGTCTGCTATTTCTGTAACTATCAAACGTATAAAATTACAATTTGGCTTTCAAGATACTTGGCACTTTTCAACTCTATTTGTGTTTTTTCATCATTTGTGTGTTTACAAATATAGAAAACAACATACACCAAACATGAGCATATACACTAAATGCACATATTCTGAATACCACTGGTTTTGCCCATTATGAATGTATCTGCACACAGTCTTTCTCATTCCTCAGCTCTTCAATGTGACCCTAGTTTGACCAGAGTGTGCGTTATAAATCTATTGTCTCACTGCAGACACTCAAAGCATCGATCTGTCGGCAAACACTGATGAACTCTTCTTGCACAGATCTGTCGGTCTCTGATGACAGCTCCAGATTTTGCTGTGAAGCTGTGCCTAGTGTTTGATAGTTCCTTTGTAGCTCAGAAGACCCCATTTGACTAGAGAGCCCTTCAGACTGAGCGTGTCGGTGAGGGCTGGGGGGCAGGAGCAGAGATGACCCACAAAGAGAGGTCTGGTACAGGGAGCAGGAGGACAAACTCTGCTCCCAACGTTCAGGAGATGAAATTGTGGAAGTACATGTCAGAGATGGAGACTGTAGGGTAGTCATAAGTGTTTCTTCTTGAGATTTATCTTCTGTTGACTGATGTTTCGAAGGTAACTCCACACACGAGGAAGTCCGATAGAGACCAGGATCTGCTGTGAGAGGATCCTTAAAGCCATTACCGGCCAGTGCAGATAAATCGTTGATGGACTGGTCACTGTAGCGAAGGGGCCTGGGGCTGAAGATGCTCATTGGGAACAGAGCCTCGCTGAACAGTGCCTCGTCAATGCTGCGCCGAAGGTTGATGGGAGATGGTGGATGCAGGTCTGTGGTAGAGTCACTCGTAAAAGAAGAACCTCCTGAAGGTTCCCCTCCAAGATCTTCTGGCTTTAATGAACTCTGCAAGTTTAGCTCAAGATCACGGTAGGCCAAGGCTCGGTTGCTATGGTACAAAAGGTCAAGACCATTCAGACTGTTTGCAAATCTGTCGTCCATTAGAGTGTAAAGAGGGAGACTTTCCATTTCTCCAAGGCCTACAGTGTCCACTATGGCCAGTTTTTCCTGTTGGCTGAGAGACCACTGGTATGCCCCTGGCAGAATTGTAGTCTTGGAGGAGAGCAGTTCTGTCCAGCAGCTTCCAGCAGCAGGTAGATGGTCTGAACAGTAGACTGGTTGTGCAACTACCAAAGCTAAGGTCAGACACATCCCAAGTTCACACAATCGACAGCTGAACTGAAACGTCCACCAGGACCATGCATTAAACATTTGGACCCCACCTGCCACACCCATGGCATTAAGCATAGCATACAACTGAAGCCCTGCACATGCTAAAGAAAACAAAGCTGAGAGACAGACGGTTACAGCAGCTCGATTCCAATCACGACTTTCTGCAAAAGGGCAACGGTTATATCGCTCGGCAGGCGTGGGAGACGTGTTGTTCAGGTGGTAAATATGTTTGGAATCAGCTCGGACATAAATGTAGAATACAAAATATGCAGACGAAAGGAAAGTCGCAAGAGCAACAAACGCCCCTCGAGAAATTAGTGTGAAAAAAAGGCAAAGGGTTTGTTTGTGTTGGTAAAATTTAGCGAGAGTCTCAGGGCCAAAGGCAGCCAGAAAGTGTAGAGTAACTAAGCTGGCCAAGATGCAGGGTCTCTGAAAGGCTGAGTAGGAGAGTTGCATTCGTGAGCGCATGGAAAGGAGAAGGAACACCAGACCGAAAGCAGCTGTGAAGCAAGGAAAAGGTGCTTCGTACAGCATCAGGGAAGCCTCTGTGGAGGGTAGGCGATCCAAGTGGCCATAGGCATCATACAGAAGAGAGAAAGCCCTAGTGGAGCCGGCTGCAAGCAGGAAAATGCTAACCAAAGCGAAGTAGCCACATCCTGATGGACACCGAAGAGGCAAACAAAGCAGGTTTAGAGCTGAAGCTAGTGTGAGTATCGCAAAGAGACAACCCAATCCATACACGTGCACCTCCCAGGCTACACCCCAGGCAGCTATAGCACTGTTCCAGTCTGAGTATAGAGGCACTAACAGGGGAGACGTGGGGATCAGAAGAAGGCTGTTTGACTTATTCATGGCAGTCGAGTTGTTGTGTGAGGGTGCAACATCTGCAGGGGTTGTAATCTCCCAAGTTTCAGAGACGTTGCAGATGCCGGTTCGTTCCTTGTTACAGTCAGGAAGAAAAGTAGCATCGCTTTCCGCTGTGCCGAATATCCAATCCGTATTTGCTTGGACATATGGACTCTCTGTAGGAAAAACAAGAGACAGAAAAACAACACAATTAGGTACCTCAGATAATTTACAGTGTGTATGTTTTTTTTTTCTGGGACTGGGAAAGTTCATTGGTATGTGGTGTCTACTAACTTTATTCTTTATAGGGGAAATACATGTCCAGTGTTTTAGACATGTGTTAGTGTCTGTATAAAATAGAAAGGACTTCATTTGGACACAACAATACCGATTGTGTGTGTGTGTGTGTGTGTGGGTGTGTATGTGTGTGCGTGTATTAAAAAAGGCTACTCAATGACCACAAAGCCTGTTCCTCAAGCATTACGTAAGCCATCTGGAGTTTCCATGCACGTCCAATTTAATTATGATGGTCTTGGCTTTGCTTTAAAGTCCAAGAGGAAATGTCTTTTTTCAAAGTGGTTTGGGTTGGAAACCAGGGAGTGACCATGTACTTTATGTTGTACTATTCGTCTGTGTGCAAATGACTGGCTTGGAAAAGTATTTTGTACCACAATCTCACACCGTCAAAATTAGCCAGTCCTTTCCCATAAGACACAAGATAATGTATGTATGCCTGTTTGAGTGTCTATTTTCAACAATGTGCTATATCCTACACATCAAATACATAATTACTAAAACAAAAGTACTCATAAACTTTCAAGAATAAGCAATCCACAAGTGCCTTTGTTACAAAACATACACATACAAAAATGCTTAGGATCATGTGTTGAAATAGTACGAGCTGAAATATTAATGAAACATGAACTACACATAAAAACCTCAGTCTTTAAACTTTAGTCTAGAGACTCATTTCCTTCAGTAAAACTTCAAAGAGCATTAGAATGGTTGGGGATTTCTTTTAAGTTCTTTTCAATGCCTTTTTCTTTGCTGTCTTTCCCTATCCCGCCCTGTCCTGGACACTGATTGCCCTTTTGTTTTAAACATCCCTTAAACATGAATAACAGGGAAACTCTACAGGTTTGTTTTATAGAAAGCAGACAACTGTCACAGACAGTGTAGTTTGAATTTGGCTTTTATTTGACTTCCTTTGGATTTCTGGTGAACGAGGCCTTTCTGTGTAAATTGTAGACTTAAGCATTGTGTTCATTTCTATCCACATTTTGGGATACCAAGGTCTCAACATGATTCAATCCATTGTTTTCTTTGTAAGCATTTATGCTGCAGATAAGGCAGCCTTTTAACTGTGCGCTCGGCATGTTTGACCTTGCTTTCCACATCACAGTCGCCTTTAGGATGCTGTTGGACCAAACGTTTTGGTTTTCTTTGCTGACAAACAAAACCTACATAACAATTGATCCTGGAGCTTTGTAAACACAACCGTAATCAAAAGTAAAGGCATCAAGTTACCATTCACAAGGTCACTACAAGGTCAAACGCACACAAATATACGCTTTTTTTGTCCCAGCCTTTTAATGTCCGGTAAAACATTTCCTTGGTGACAAATCATTAATACAAATCTGTGACAGCTAAAATCTGTGCGGACCTCCTTTCTACTTTTTGTTCTCTTGCAGGAAATGTAACTAGAACACGAGTCAGGGCTGGAGCAGGCCGGTCCAGTCTCTGTCCTCTTTTACTATGAATCCGTTCTGTCATGGTCCGGATGAAGTGAGCAGGGATGTTGCTTGGACAGCCGCTCATGTGCCGCATAAACTGTATGTAGCACGCCTCAGAATTTCTGATGCTTTCACATTTTACACACACCCACATATCCATTTGTGCTTTTCATCTTTCGCTCAGAAACAAAAACAATTTCTATAATTGATTAAACCAATGAAATAGTGACTCATCAGAACACAGGGCCTTTTTCAGCTGCATCAGTCCATCTCAGAAAATCTTGGACCACAGAAACCTTAATAATAGTAATTATTACTACTAACTAATGCATCAGTTTTATATAGTGCTTTTTTGGGCACTCAAAAGACGTTTCACTTTTCAGATTGCAAATATTAACAGACGTAGACACGGCTATCTCTGTGGTTGAAACTATTGTGCCACCACTTTTCACTTTCCCACTGCTCTATACACAATGGTGAAACACTACTAGTGTAGCCACAGCTGCCCTGAGGCACACTCACAGAAGCAAGACAACCAGTATGTGCCATCGGAACCTCCGACCACCACCAATCATTTAGGCACACACCAGTCTCATTCAGGTGATCCTCTGTTTCTGGGTTATGGGTTAGGGTGATGTTGGTACATGGGTTTGTCTTTGCATGGTTGAGTTTAACTTTCTTTCCAGATGGTATAATACGAATAAGAAGTCACCATTTTCCATGATTTCCGTCTCCTTTTTGGACTGAGCCAATTCTGCCACTTGCCTTTGCAGTGACCTTTTTTTCACCAGAGGAATGTTCCTGAAATGTTCTTATTTTATTGAAAGTGTATCCGTTTATTATGCCTTACTCTATTCTCTACTCTTTACCTCTCTTTTCTGACAGATGCACTGAGCCAAAGCAATTTCCAAGTCTGTGACTTCCTGTTACTTACGTGGCAATAAAAATGATTCTGATTTTGACAACAAATAGTGTTATATTTGTTATATTGTTTCAATAGAAAACAGGTTAGACAAAGGTAACCTCATCTGGTCTGTGTTTATCATCAACATTCTTAAATGGCTTCTGGATTCCCAGAATGTTTTGAACATTTTTAAACCTTTTCTTCCACAAATCACTCAAACATATGAATATTTATGCGTGCATTCATCCATAGCTTTAAAGGAAGTTGAGTTAAGCTGTTTTAGTCTAGTTTCCCACCGGTGAGAGGCTGAAACGCTCAACACAGTTTGGTATGACATATCGACAGTACAACCAAACACATCAAATCAAATGTTCCGTTGAATTTTTCCCAGTCAGCTGACACATTCCTCTTGGGAAAAAGTGCCTCATGCTCGGAGCAAGGACAGTGAAGGTTGTAACACAGTGGAAAACCAAGAAACGTATAAGCATTAACAAGGATTTTGAGAAAACCTAGTCCAACAACTGCATTTAAACATGCCTGATGAATTTTGGAGCCAGTCCATCCGTTGGTTCAAATGTTGGTATGTGTGTGCGCGTGTGTGTGTGTATGTGTGCGTGTGTGTGTCATTCTGCCTGTTCTTAATTTCAGTTTTTGCATATCGTATTCCAACAAGACAAAGACAAATTCAGCTAAAAGCCACATTTTATTGGTAGAAGGAAGAATGGATGCAAATGAATATCAACATATTCTGCAGAAGAGAGATTGTTTACAGGTTGCGATACTTGCCAAAGAGGGCGCTATAGTTGCCACAACCTGTAAAAAAAAAAGTTTTTTGGAAATAAATTGTAACTTCATGCTTTTTTGAGATCATATACCCATCTCACTTGCATCACTGTTCTCAATAAAACTATTTATTATGTGTTATATGGACCTTTTTATGTGTTTAAATGTAAGATTAAATACACAAATAGATAAATACATATTAGAATAGTTGAGCTGGCGTGCCCCAACTTTCACACTCTCTCATTCGTTTTTAATTTCACTGTCAAAGATCTATTTTAAAGTTCACTATTTTTCACTCAATTTCCCATTCAATCAGGCTCAAGCTATTTAGGTTACGTGTGTCCTGTGAAGTGGGCCACATGTGCAGCAGTTTATAATTACTGCATCTCAATGGGACTCACCAGAGCCACATTAACCTCATTATATACATAAGAGATTTTCCCCAACGAGATTACATCCTGTTATGACATCCTATTATCTTGTTCTGGTGTCCGCGTGTGTTCAATACAAAGAAGGGTGAATTTCAAGTCTTAATATTTCAGATTTATGACCTTAACATGTTAGTGGAATGACCACTCAAATGACCACTCCAACTCCTAATTTAGAAAAACATAAATAATTCTCACTTTCTGGTAAATGGATGCCCTGGACATGCAAGGATAATTATTGTATATACTGTATGTCCCAAAGGTATTGTGCAGTTAAAGAACCAAACCCTAAATAGCTTCCTCAATCATTTAGTTACCACCTTTTAGTTACTATATCTACTTCAAGCAATCTTGGAACTGAAATATAGCTTTTTGGGGCATCTCACTTGGTTTTAGTCAGATTTACCATAAAACTGCATCTCAACCATTTAGTAGAGGCCTATAATGTAAAAATTAAAAGCAAATTATTTGTGTTATTAGTGCTCCTACATCTTCAAGAACTCCAAAATGAAAGAAAAAACAGTAAAGGGTGGATTTGTTAATTTGTGCATTATTTTTTAACTGATAAAAACCCATTTGAATATTGAGTGCAGTATTATAAAGCGTTGGTGTTGGCTTGCCTCCACGTACCTGTCGTCAGAAGATTAGATGTGGTTATGTCCGTGTTCTGGGTCGGGATTGAAGAAATCTCAGTCTCTTCCTCCACATCTTTGTTATTCGTCTGATCCTCTTGGTCTGGACAGAGACACATGCACTATAAACTACATGCACGATCTCCTCATTCAGATTACACATTCACCAGAGTCGCAAAGTCACAGATTAGCAAAGAGTAATTCTGGAAATTGGCATGAGTAAGAGTAACCCTTTCTACACTTGCTCAGATACGCAAGTGAGTTCAACCCAGTTATGTCAAAAGGGGAGCCTCCTAGTAGTGGCCAGTGAGCCGTGTACACAAGTTGTGCCCTTGATAGCCTTATAAGTTGTGACGTCTCTATAAGTCTTATAATTCCGAATTCAAAAACTAAATTCAAACAAAAGCCTTTAGAATCTGCAAAAACATGTTTCACAAATGGATGAAACAGTGATTCATGTCTATGGGAAAACACATGATAGGACACTGTGTCACTTTTTTACTAATAACTGAATGATTTTAAATGGAGAAGATACATTACAAACTGTTTTAAGCATACACACTAAACACACTTTGGTTGATAGTGGTAAGATTAATCAGGTTAAGTTGGAAATGGAAATAATATAATAAGAGTCTTGGTTAGCAAAATCTTTCTTATTTAATTCTTCACCTTGGAGAAATGCTTAAAATACATGAAAAATATTGTAGCAGCATAATGTAATATTTTCATGTCAAATCGTCATTAACAGCCCTAATATGTCAAAAGGCATGAATAAACCAGGCTCTTTTCTAATACTTCTTTGATAACACTACTTTAGCCTATACTTTTACACCACCCTAAATCTTGTTTTTGTTTTCATTTTGATGTCCCGCCCTCCACCATTTCACCAATCAGAAAGTTCGTGATCTGGGTTGCCAGAACTCACTGCGTCGAGCTAATCTCAGTGGTAAAGTACATGTGGCCACAGAACTAAATAAGTTCTCAAATCATTAATGACAAAACAAGGAATAAAACGAGGATTTCTATTGGGGCCTTTGTGAAAAAAGTGTTGGTTATAGATTTGACAAACTCTTGTCGATTCAGATATTGTGTTCCCAGCTGGATTCGTCTGCATATCTGGCAACCTGATTCAGGGAGAGTGGGAGAGGTTGCAGTACCACTTTTGGCCAGATGTTTACGTACGGCTCCTTTAAAGATAGCAACTCTGTTCTATGACATAAAAGAACATTGATAAACTCAGAATTGGGTGAACTACAGCCCGACTCTCCTTCCCCCACTAGAGTCTATTATTAAAGTTTATTGATTGACTGCGGAACCTTCCGCAGTCAACCATTGGTTTTGTATTTCTTTATTCCGTCATTTTTTTTGACACGTTTCACAGCTTTCACATTTTCAACAATTTCCACAAGTTATACATCAAAACGTTCCACATGTTTGGGAGATTATTGCTATTACTTTTGGGACTTCAGCGATTTCCGGTTTTTCCGCAATCGGACAAAAATCTGCATTGAGAATTCTGCAATGCATTTTAATAGGCCCATGCATTTTAATAGGACTTCAGCTCTTTCAGACATTTCTACAGTTTCAATGATTCAACAGTTTCAAGGATTCAACAGTTTCAAGGATTTCAGCAGTTTCAAGATTTCAAGAGTTTCAAGGACTTCAACAGTTTCAAGGACTTCAGCAGTTTCAAGGACTTCAGCAGTTTCAAGGACTTCAGCAGTTTCAAGGACTTCAGTGTAATCATGCAACCTAATAGGGATTTTTCCATGTAAACCAGTATAATGCAACTTAATAGGGATTTTTCCATGTAAACCAGTATAATGCAACTTAATAGGGTTTTTTCATGTAAACCAGTATAATGCAACTTAATAGGGGTTTTTTCCATGTAAACCAGTATAATGCAACTTAATAGGGGTTTTTACATGTAAACCAGTATAATGCAACTTAATAGGGTTTTTTCCATGTAAACCAGTATAATGCAACTTAATAGGGTTTTTTCCATGTAAACCAGTACAATGCAACTTAATAGGGATTTTTCCATGTAAACCAGTATAATGCAACTTAATGGGGATTTTTCCATGTAAACCAGTATAATGCAACTTAATGGGGATTTTTCCATGTAAACCAGTATTATGCAACTTAATAGGGATTTTTCCATGTAAACCAGTATAATGCAACTTAATAGGGATTTTTCCATGTAAACCAGTATAATGCAACTTAATGGGGATTTTTCCATGTAAACCAGTATTATGCAACTTAATAGGGGTTTTTACATGTAAACCAGTATAATGGAACTTAATAGGGGTTTTTACATGTAAACCAGTATAATGCAACTTAATAGGGATTTTTACATGTAAACCAGTATAATGCAACTTAATAGGGATTTTTCCATGTAAACCAGTATAATGCAACTTAATAGGGTTTTTTACATGTAAACCAGTATAATGCAACTTAATAGGGATTTTTCCATGTAAACCAGTATAATGCAACTTAATAGGGTTTTTTACATGTAAACCAGTATAATGCAACTTAATAGGGGTTTTTACATGTAAACCAGTATAATGGAACTTAATAGGGGTTTTTACATGAAAACCAGTATAAAGGATAACAGTTTAAAGGATATCAGGAGCTTCAAATACTTCAGGAGTTTCAAAGATGTTTAAAGTATTTTAACAGTTTCAAGGATTTCAAGGATTTTTCAGCTAAATTCCACATTAGATCTGTTCCGCAGTCAATCGCAATGGCTTCAGCCATTGCAACGGTTTCTAGTTATTATTATTATTGTTATAATTGACCAACACTAATCATTTAGTAATGTCTTGTGCTTAAATACAAGGTACAATAAGCAATGAAAAAGGGTTTTCCCTGGCACTCCCTAAAGCTGGTTGTATTATTTCATAAAGATGGAAATGTACATAAAGACAAAACAATTCATTCAATACATCATAGCATAAAGTAGTCTTTATGATTGTTTTATCATCTCATTTTGAAGACCAGTGTTGATATTTGACATCACTGACATCAGGCCAACCAAGTTGAGGAGTAAGAAAGAGATTACCATTATAAACCTTGTTTATAAAATGAACTTTTCCAATTGTTTCATGGTTGTAGAGTAAAACACATGTCCTCATATAGAAGTATAGTTTCTTCACCACCATAGTTTCCCTCTTCATCTCTACATAAAAACAGCTATTGTAATTTATCTGAAGTGTGATCAGTGATCTACAGCTGGTGATGCAAAAGCAAAAATAATGTGGATGCAATAAGGAACAGGGGAAAGGGGAGGGTTTGAGGGGGCTTTAATGGCAGGAGCCAGCATGTTCAGCATCCATGAAGTGCAACTGGCGCACACATGTTCCCAAAGGAGAAGCATGTTTTTGCTGAGTGTGCGCTCAGAATACTGATACAGACATAGTTGGACTCTCCGTCACAAGGGCAAGCCTCCATTCTCTTCACTTCAATTCAGCAGCAGTCAACAATAAAAGGGATCATTATCACGTGCATGATACATCAGATTGCTCCAAGAAGGGCTACGCACACACGCAAACCCCTTGATAAATATACCTCAGAGAGATTTCCAATTCTGCTTTGTCTTGGCTTGAAATCATAGCCTGATTATAATACAATAAAGAAAGTTTAAAAGTCCAAATCCCGGGTTTATGATCACTTTACATGCTTGGAAACAATATTGCTTACAACAAAGGTACTTATAATCTGGATTCAAGAATAATGCAGCCAACCATCAAAAATTACGCACAGCCTCTAATGTGATGGCTGTGTCTATTGGCTGAGGTTCCAGACATTTTAGCATGCAGACAGTGGTCTACAGCAGAGTTTGGGGGATGGGCCAAGGAGACCAAGGTGTTGCCTCAATGTCATGGGTTTTCTTTCCAGATGTGGAGAGGCAAACCCCATAGAAATCCCTTATCTTCTACAGGGTTTACTGCATTCAACGGTGTCAGACAATTTGAATTCAGTCTTGGCATTGAAAGAGGAAGCAAACAGAGATAATGTGTGAATATATATTATTTGTATGTTTTTTCATGATACAATTTCCATGTATATTGTATTATTATTATAACATGGGACTGGATGGGCTTGAGCTGCCCTGGAGTCAAAGCCAGGGTGTTTTTGCTATAAGATGAGAGCTGCGCCCCCATGTCGCCCCAAAACATTCCAAGCAGAGCAACATCTCCATGGATACAAGCAATTCCTGTTGCATACTCTACCACAAATGCCGGGTGAAATTTCATATGCAAATCACAATAAACGTTTAACACATTTAAAAAGTCTTCCATCAAGCTCCTTATGATGCTCACGTTAACCTCCCGATATCAGTCCCCGTTTGATTGATCACTTCCATTGAACAAACCCAGACACTATTGATTTTATTTACATCTGCTTACCTACTACTATCGGAACGTTGACCTTTGGGCTCTCAGTTGTGCTTGTTCTCGATTCCAGCATCTGTTCACCATCCATCCCCAGGGCGGCGGTGACAATCCATTCCGTAGTTTTGCCTTGCGTGGTGAGAGCTTGTGTAGTTGCAGTCTTTTCGACAGCTGTTTTTACAGTCGTCGCTTCTGAAAAGGGACTGTACTGTGTCGTTTTATGTGGTGCAACGGTAGGAGTCTCCGCCGCCGCCTCCGCCCATTGGAAGGTGGTTGTTGTTTCAATTGTAGTTTTGTCTGCCATCGTGGGAAACATTTTAGTTGAAAGATCGTTCTCTTGATCAGTGTGTTTTGTGGAGTGTGGTTCAGTGGCGCTCTTGCCTGTCGTTGCCACCTGCACCGAGGCCCATGTTGTGTGGGTTTGCGTTGGACTGGACCCAGCAGCATTTGTGCTCGCAGGATTCGTGAGTGGTGTGTCAGTAATGGAGATGCTGGACAAAAGGGAGTAGGAGGTCAAGACAAGACGGTCATTGTCGCTTAGCACAGTTCTGTCTACAGTTATGGTGGGATGTGTCGCACTGGTTAAAGGCTTCTGAGTGAAAGTAGTGGGCAGTTCAGAAGTTTCAGAAATGCCCTCCTGTCCCGAGCCAGAGATTTCCTCAAACTGATCGACGCTTTGTGCTCGTGTTACGTAAGTTGTAGTCGGTGAATTTGGCTTGTCTTTATTGTACAAACTCCAAAAAGAGAATGGGTTTTTGATTGGCCACAAATAAGACTGCTGCTTTTTATCAGAGGGCTTCTTCTCTTTGGAGGGTGCGGTGGGTTTAGTTTGTCCCCAGGATGCCTCTTCATCAGCCGCACACTGGAGTAGCAGGATAAACCAGATGAGAAAAGCAAAGGTCTGATGGAGGTAATGCATGCTGCCAGAAGCCACCGGTTGGTCACATGTTGTGGCGCATTTCTCAACTCCCCGAAGAGGGCCTGGCCGAGTTTCTCCGAAAGCGACCTAAAAGACAAAACACACAGTATAAGCTATGACACACTTTAATGAACTCTTTCAAACTTTTCTGATAAGGGGCCAGCTGTTCTGTAATGCATGGTCTATACTGTATATACCGAGTTCGCTTTTTGCAACAATGCTTTACCCTGCTTTTGGAAAAAACATGATGTATGATGTAAAGCTATGGCTGCTTTTCTTCCGTAGTGACAGTGAAGAGTGTCAGAGTTGATGGAAAGGTGGATGGAGAAAAAATACAGGTCAATCTTGGAAGAAGCTGTTGGAGAATGCAAAACATGAAGCATTTTTGGCCGAAGTGAACCAGAATTGGTCCAGTTAAAATGAAGCAGACAAACAAGGGAGCACAATGGGTCCCACAAGTACATACATTTTATGGATCAAAGTCTCAACAGGCCATAGTGAAAATTACACATTTCAAAGTTAAGTGCCTGCAAAAGTAGAAAAAAAAACCTTGTTAATAGACTTTCCATCTGTTGATTTTCTTTTCATGCTCCTTTTTAGTCTGGCCCGATTTGCCGACCTTGTTTTATCCAGAATAATAAAATAAACTCAACTATGCAGTCGAGGCAATAGCCATAGATAGACAGACGGAAATAACCACAAATCGCAACAACAACTTAAGTGCAATGGACACCCTGCACTTAGTGGCGTCCTGTTATATGTGCTGGTCCATTTTTATGTCACCCTGTTTCACTTGTAGGGGAATACTGACCAGCCAATTAGGTGAAGAATGTCCTTCCATATACATGTAAGTGAGTGGATTGGTCTTGGGGAGAGATTAAGAGTTGGGGTTCCAGGTTGCGGGTGCTGAGAATAAATTAGGCCCTATTGTGATGTTCAAAGTCACTTGCCTGTTGCCCCAGTGAAATGTCTGGAGCGCAAAAGGAATTTTTCTATGAGAACAACAGTTGCATAGTCTGTAAACCCTGTATGTAACACCCCTACACATTCTTATGGACTCCTCAGCACTAGTGTTCTTTTGGAGAACAATAGAACTATCCAAATGCTTTTTAGATGTGTCATTTAATTTAATATTCTTTATATGAGTGAACATTTTAGAGATTTCAGGTTTGGTTGTCAACATTTATCGATTATTGCAAGGAATCTCTGTGCATGTGTGACTTGGTTTGTCACTTCAGTCTCAGCTTTTTGGAAACAGCTGTGAGGTGACAACAGCAGGCCTACATGTTCATGGGGCTCATACGAGCTTCTGTTCAGGTACAAACTCACTTTGGTGTGTCTGTAAAACACTATGTGACTGGTGCAGTTTCACTTTCTAAACTTTTGTTACTCAATAGTAAAGATTCTCCATCCATCCATTTTCTTCCCCTAATCCATTTCTGGGTCGGGGGATGGCAGTCAGAGCTGTGCCCAGTACACAGAGCACCAGCCCCTCCCTGATCCTCCTGTGAGTCCACAGGAGCTGAGAACTTTCAGTGGGGGGCTTTGGGTAAAGTGGGGTTAAGTGTTAAGTGTCTTGCCCAAGGATACAATGACAGCAGTCATCAGTGGGAGTCTTGAAGTAGGTCTTATGGTGGGCTCAAACCCACAACCTTCAGGCTCAAAGGCCAATGCTCTACTAACTGAGCTACTGTCGCCTTAGTAAAGATTCTTTTTTACTATATTGACTATATACATTTGTTTTGATTACATTTTTAACCATCATTTTCTATTGTGGTATTGAATCAGTCAGTGTTTATTGTTCTTTGTACAGTATGACAGCAGCAGAAGGAAAGACCTGCAGGACCTCTAACATGTAGCTTGGGTGGGTTAGTCACTGAAGCTGCTCTTGCTGCTCATCTGAGACCTTCCCCATTATCCACCTGTATGTCCTTGGGCCTACCTCAGAGATGAATATCAGCCTGGATTCTCAAATTCACCAATAAATAAGGAGTGACTAACTAGTTCATGGGTCTCACGTCCACCTTCCCACACGGCATCTCTTTTTAGCACCATGACTGAAGAGTGTAAAATCAGTTTCTTCTGAAATGACTTGGTTTTCTGAGGGCTGCTTTTCCAAAGCTCCCACACAATCCAGCCCACTCATGCCCTGATACAATCTACATTTGATTCTGTAGACTGACTACACACCTACACACTGGTCTTTGTATTGGAGTTCATGTACCAGTTTCAAATGGACAAGACATTTCTACCTTCCAAAGCACATCAAATGAACCGTGTAATTAATCCTGTACTGAGGGAGTCATTTGCAGTATAGTTATGGAGAGAGGGATGGGCAAAATGACTAGGTACTTGTTGTCAGTTCAATGACAAGGGAGTCTATAGGAACTGCAGTACAATTATGACCCCAAAATAGTCCTGCAAAGATGAGTAATGAATAAATGAATGTGAGATTGACTGATTATCCAGTGTGTGCCTGGCAAACTGGATTCTCCACGTGCAGCCCATAATTTATGTTCTCACATCACCTTCAACTACCTATTTATATATAGTAAGTGCACTACTAAGGATTTAAATAAAAGAGAACCTATATGCTTCTTTAGTGTTTGCCACAATCCCACTATTGAGCTGATTGCCCACACAATCTTGAAACATAGCTACTTTTGTTGGCCTATTCTTTTAACCTCCTGTCACAATTGATGGCACTTCGTCTGCGTGCCTGTTAGCTTGCGTATTGTCTGCCCTGACAAGAAGCAGAGCAAGTGCAAAGAAGCTATAAAAGAGGTCTGCGGGGAATTTACAAGTCCAATCTATTATTTTGACCGCATTTTGTCTCACTGCTTCTGACAAGGGAGGGACTGGCTTCCAAATGAGCGAGGATTGACAATATGGAGGAGAGGCAGAATAGGAGGTCAGGGAGCAGAAGCTAATAGTCCGTAAAAAAAAACTAAAACTTAAAAATGATAGAAGTATCTTGATATTCACTCTAGAGTCTTGTTCAAAGCTAGTTTATTCTGGTCACTGTTTTTACCCATTAACGACAGCCACACTAATTTTCTATTTTGATTGAATTTACTGCTACTGCTGCTGCTACTGGTCAGCACTAAAGAAAGAGAATGAAGGATTTGTAACCCATGATACTTGATACTCATGATACTAATACTCTAAACTGCTAATTATCAAGCTGGAGTAGCCAACATCAACATCAACATATTAACCCTTAGACGGCCTATAGGGATACAAAAATACACACAGGTATTTGGACTTAGAATGCGTTTGGATTTACGCTTTTCATCTTTCAAAAGTCGTCACAGTCCTGGGCTTGTGTACTTCGTTCAACAAGGGAATAGAGCACCTGCGCCACAGTCTGGAACCACTGGAAGCATGTATGGCATTACGATTTAATCAAGCTGCCATAATCTCCGTATAGCTCCAGTATCAATGACAGTCCTGAATAATGGAGTCATTTACCCCCTGCAAAGTCCACCGCTCTGGACCTGCTGTGGGGGTGTGCCTGTTTACAAGGGCCGGCTGAACGCACACACATGTGAGTATGTGGTTACTCTGTCTTTGTACGCGTTCCCGATAGTCATCTGAAATGACTGATTGGTTTTCCATCTGCAGAGATAGATAATGGACTGCTATGTCAGTTAATATTTGTACTCAAAATGTTTCTGGTGGTTTTTATTAAAGAGGAAAACATAACAACACGGCCTTAAAAGGGTTTGGTTTGAGGCCTGGGTCAGTTTTTGGCCGTGCTTAATATGTTTTCATTCCAATGTTTACAATAATTGAAAGGCTGAATTTTCTTGGGTTAAAAGGCAAACCCCAAAGTTCATCATGGTGAGAAGGAAAAGAACCAGCCATTTTGCAACACATAAAAACTACTCAAACTACTAAAATAACAATGGTGCTATATGTATCTTTGACTTTGGTGCCTTTGCGATATTTTAGGAATAAACCAGAATCACTCTGATTGGGATTTATACAGTGTAAAGCAGTACATTAAGAGCTTTAAAAGGTGTTGAGAGATTACAGCATGTCTATTAGAAAGCTTTGGCAAGTGTGATATTTAAACACATGTCTAATGCATTTTCATTTAGCTTTTACATATGTTCAGAACGAATCTGGAGCTGTAAACATGGCTAGTTTCACAT